AAGAGAGGAAGAGCAAAGCGATGAGCAGAGAGAGAGAGGGAGAGGAGGGAGAGGGAGAAAGAAAGAGTGGGGAAGGAGGGAGGGAGGGAGGGAGGGAGGGAGGGAGGGAGGGAGGGAGGGAGGGAGGGAGGAGATGAAAGGAAGGAGGAGCAGGGAGTCATCGTACGAAGAGCTGGTAGTTCTCTGAAATTTTCCCTTGAGCGATCGGTTCGCTCCACCCGGCGATTTGGCGACTTTTGCTCTCTCAACGGCCCTCTGAACCCCCCGCTGCAGCGACCTCGGGAACCTCGAAAGAATCTTGTTGAAAGTCTGGAAGCAACTTCAGGGAAGAAGAGAAGAAGAAGATGAAGATGATGACGACGAGGATGACGATGATGATGACGATGATGATGATGATGATGATGATGATGATGAAGAATAGTGATGATGATAGTGATGGTGGTGATTATGATTATGAATATGATTATGATGGTGATGGTGATGGTGATGGTGATGGTGATGAGAATGGGAGGAGGAGGAGGAGGAGGATGAGCAAGGGGAGGATGGTTGGGATTAGATGAGATTGGATGGGATGATGTGAAGGAAAAGAGGAGGAGGAGGAGGAGGAGGAGGAGGAGGAGGAGGAGGAGGAGGATGAGCTTCTGACCTTCCTTGTGATGAGTCTCACATAGACTTGACTAGCAGCTGTGAAGGTGAAGGCCCCATCACGAAACCTTGAATCCTCTGCAGCAGTCAAATCATTTCACTTCCTCAGTCAACTTCAGTCTCCCCTCTCCTCCTCTTTTTCCCTCCTCTCCCCTCCTCTCCCCTCCTCTCCTCTCCTCTCCTCTCCTCTCCTCTCCTCTCCCCTCTTGTCTCCTCCTTCCATTTCCCCTCCTCTTTCTCCTCTCTCCTCTCTCCTCTCTCCCCATTCTCACCAATCGACGCAAACTCTCCGAAATAATCTCCACTCGAGAGGAAGACTTGAGTCTCAATGCTATCCCCGGAGTCTGAAACCACCTTGACGCTTCCTCGTAGAATGATGTAAAGGCAGTCGACAATCTCTCTCTCTGTAGCCACCACCTACAACCCTCCGTCATGATCGCGCTCTCCTCCAACTCCCGCTCCCGCTCTTTCCCCCCTCCCTCATGCGCGCCTGCTCCTGCTCCTGCTCCTGCTCTTGCTCCTGCTCCTGCTCCTCCCTCCGTCACGCTTGCATTCTACGCGTGCATCCCCCCCCCTCCCTTTCCTCCTTTCCCTTCTCCCTCCACCATACGCGCTTCCTCCTCCCTCACCTCGTTCAGCCTCAGCAGCATGTACTCGGCCTCCAGGATAAGCGCGCACAGGAAGCTCGGCAGGAAGGGGCTTGAGACCTATAGAGCAAGGCGACACGTCATCTCAAGATCCTCCGACCATCGTCAAGACCGTTGAGAAGACGGGCATGCCAGCAAGAACTCCCCGGTCGATGCACTGAGCGAGTTTCTCCCTGAGGTCATCCGGGAGAGATTTCATTAACTGTTTGTTCTGTGTCAGATGCAGCAACCCTCTCCTCCTCCTCGGTGTCGTCATCACACACGTAAGGCATCCAACGAAAGCAACTGGCAAACATTGCAACTACAACTACATGATGATGATGATGATGATGATGATGATGATGATGATGATGATGATGATGATGATGATGATGATGATGATGATGATGATGATCTCCATCTTTTAATCTCTCACCTTCAAGGTTTCTTCCTGATCTTGATCGATGGTGTGAGAGAAATTCACCCACGACAAGATTTCCTCGTACAGAAGCTTGTCGCAATTACACGCCTGCAATGTGATCTTCGCATCTTCAAGCCGCTCCTTCCTTGAGTTCCCTGACAACCAGTCAACTCCCTTGAACACGCGTTGACATCCAGACTTCACCTCTCGCGTTCATCTTCACGACTGTCTCCTGCATTTCACTGACAAAGACCGCAAAGCACGTCGTTCCGATCCACAGCAAGAAGATACAAAAAAGTCTCTCGGCCGTGTTAGTCCCTGTCACATCTCCGAACCCCACCTGAGCAGCACATCAACTCTCTCACAACATCTCAACTTGCACTCCACCCACCGTCGTGAAGACCGTGTTCACAAAGTATGCTGAAAGAATGTACTTGCCCCACAGATCTCCGTCGTCGAGCCCGTATGACGACACGAAGTCGACCAGGCTTTCGTTAGTCAGCTCCTTGACCAGCCAGAAGGCGCAGAGGCAGATGTGTGCGAGGACGACGAGGGTAACTAGCAGGTACAGAGCCTTCCTGACCCACAGGCTGAAGGAGGAGTTGTACTCGCTGATGGAAGACATCATCCTGATAAGGCGAAGCAGGCGGAACACTTTGATCATCCTCAGCGGGCGAAGCATGCGCAGGGGCGCCCGAGCGAAGATGTAGCCGAAGTCAGCATACGAGAGGTCCGTCTCCTGCTTGCAGATCCCCAGCAGCACGAAGAACTCGACCCACGAGATCGGAGCCGTTGTGATCGCATCGAAGATTAAGGAGCCTCTGAGGTATGAAGACGCTACGACATTAAGATCGTCCACGTACTCCCCGTCCACACGGTAGAAGCCAGTGAAGAAAGCCAGCGCAAGCTCGATGACGAACACAGCTTCTGCCGCCATGTCGACCGGCAGCTCGATGGGCCTTGGACACACCGGTCGGTTCCACAAGAAGGAAAGCTGGATGGGTGTGGTGATACAGCAGTAGATCAGTGCTACTCCTGACACGAAGGCCAGATTCTTGCTGAAGGGAGACAGCGGATGGATAAGTCGAGACCCTCCTCGTCTTCCGATTCCGCCATGTATGCCAAACACTCGTCGCACAATCGATGTGGAACGCTGGCTTAGCTGCCAAGCCTGGAAGTGTGATCCGGGCTGATACATGCTTCAATGTGTTTGCGGGAGCTAGAAGCAAGAGTGACAAGAAAGGGCTGCTGTCAGATGGTCGCAACTTGTCAAGCTTCTGTTGATTGGACCTTGCTCACACGTCCGTCGTTCACCTCCAGACTGTTATCCTTCAAACGCCATGGTGAACTTCACAGCTCCGTGCCGCAGAGTTCTGTCGTCACAACTCATCATCTCCACCCAATCTCAGCAGAACATGAGTGGTCTGACTTCTCTTGTCCTTGTCCTTGTCCTTGTCCTTGTCCTTGTCCTTGTCCTTGTCACGATACGATTCCGTCCATTCTTGGCTTTGATGTTCACGTTGACTTTGGACCCTTTGAGGGGGGTGGTGGTGTCAGGTGGTAACGTCATATCAACATCATGGGTGGTTTCCCTAGGGGTACTTGGAGGGTAATGGAGGGGTACTGGAGTCATCATGACCGTTGTAAGATGGGGTACAAGGGGCAAACGACAGGAGGGTGGGGGTGGAGGGTGACGGGGTAGTTGTTTTTCTTTGTGACCCCAGGACTACCCGGTCATTGCCCAACCAAAAGGGGGGTAGTTGGTCACAACCTGGAAGTCAAAAAGCCAACTTAACTTTGTATGGACCTTATAATTTACCTAAGTTTCACCGGACTGGACAGCTCCTGATTGTGCTCGTACTTTGTTTTACTTAACTTTGAGTAAAGAAGTATCGAATTGTGGCTGGCGGACTCAGTGAGTCGGATGAAACCCGGTGGCCGGGCCCGCCGCCGGGTTACAAGTGTAAAAGATAAAAAAAGAAACCTGACATGGCACCATCTTGTTTTGCGCGATGAGGAGATGGCGTGCGTGGCGGGGGCGGGGGGGGGGGGAAGGGGGACGAGCTGGTTGTAGCTGAGATGAGAGAGCGACAATGCTGACATAGTCACTGCCTTCAACAATCCTGACATCACAACTTCCTTCAACATGGCATCACCAGCTGATGAAGATGGGTCCTGGACGTTGTTCACCCTGGATGTGAAATCGTTGCGTCAGAATGGTCCAAGTTGCGGCCTTGTAGCATTGCGGATGGCGTCTGTCTTTGTTTGCAGCAAGGAGACGGGAGGAGAGAATGTTCCCAGTGTCCAGGATATTCTGAAAGTTGCGACAGAAAAGGGTTTCAGCAGAAAAGGGGAGATTTTCTCCTGCCAACATCTTGCGGTGATTTGCGCATTGCATTACATTAAGGATCTCACGTTATCCAGGCATTGGGAAGAGAAGTCTGCAATGTATCAGCAGATGTCATCGAGGATCCTTCGACTGAATTGATTTGCTCCGCGATCTCCTATGGAAAACCAGTGCTGATCGCCTACGACGCTGACAAGGACAACTCTCCCTGCCTCCTGCAAGGTGGGTCCCTTGTCTCGAGGTCTCGCTAGTTGAACCAGAGGTCTCTTCACAGGTGCTCGAGCTCATTGGGCAGTAATCTGCGGGGTGGCGTTGCCCAGCACGGCTGGCCTCTCCGATCGGCTCGGGCCCCTCCTGGAGAAGGTGAAGGAAGTCGAGCAGGGTCGTACGAAGCTGGAGGTATTCGTGGTCTGATAGCTTCACTCAGCCCCTCATCTGCTTTTTCCCAGTGCTGCAAACAGTCGTCTCCTTTCACGGAGGAGGGTCGAGGAGTATGCTGCTGCTGCACCTGGTGCTCGGGTACGTCGCTGGGAACCCCAAGGGAGAAGGCAGACAACAGGGTCATGGGGATATGTCTCCATGGAAAAGTGAGTACTCCCTGGGTAAGGAGAAGGAGGTATTGACCCTGAACTTTCCAGAGCTCCAGGCTGAACTTTTGGGACCTGGAGTCCCTGTTGGCGTCCAATGCAAACTTGGCGCAGCCGAGGTCTGACTTGAGCAGAGGTGAGGGTTCCACCAGGGTGTTTGTTTCGATTCTGATCTCACTGGCAGTTGAGATGGTTGTTCCTGAGGGACTGGATGGCCTCAAATGCAAAATGATTGTGATCTCGATGTAAGTAGATTGACCTCAACCTGTTTGTTCCAAGGAAGTAGTATATTTGTATTTGTTTGAACGAAGTTTGGTAGAGATACAAGCCCATGCTTTAAAATTTAAACAACAAGATAGCCAGGTTTCCATTCAGAAACATGTACAAGAGCGAATTTCTTTCACACATCACCTCAAATCCAAAGCCCTGCACTCATATCAGCTCAAAAAGATCAGGGGAAAGGTCACTCTACCTGTCCAATTATACAATGCCAGTTGGGTGCGAATTTCTTGTCCATCGTCTCTTTCACCACCTGGAGGGTAGCCGTGAGCTCCAGATACTACCACAAGAAGAAAGATGATAAAATTCCCACCTTTGCAGCGAGGTCATATTTGTTTTGAAATTTCTCCACAGAAGATACAATCACTTCAACTGCCTCTGCTCTCATCTCCTCCTTCATGTCTGTATGCTTGTATGCAGACAAGTCAGAGCCGTAACAAGCTCTTTGTTCACCTCTTACCCGAACAAGAGGATAATTCATCTCCTTTCTTGCTTCCTCCATTCTTAATCCAGTATCTATCAATCTGAGTTAGTCAGAGCACCAGCAACTGAGCAAATATCGTCCTCTTTGAATGATGCAAATGAAAGCAATTGATGACCACTGTGATGAATTGTGTACAGTTTCAGGATCATGAAAGTCAAGGGGACTTGAACAGAACATGAGGAATCGCATCCTAGTTCATCATCTTCTCAGTCAAAAGCTCTTTCTCTCCGATGATTCCTCCATTCTCTTTGCTCCCCTTGTCCGCTGACCATGGCCTACTCTAGTCAAAGAGACCAACCGCCGTTAACCGGAACGTAACGGCGCCCTCACACAACAGTTACATTATCCCCCAGTGTAACGGAATAGGCTTTGTGAGGGTTGGCCTGTCCCTGCTCTCTATTTCCGCCATCGATGGCCAAGTGACCGCACCGTCCTGCTGCTCCTGCTCATTCTACTCCTCCCTCTCCTCCTCCTCGTTCTTCCCCCTTCACTTGATCTCATCGTCCTTGAACCTCTTCTCCTGTCCCTTTCTGTCGTACTATCCTCCTGCTCGCCTCCGGGCTATACACCACTCTCTTCCCACTCGGAGTTACATCTGAAAACCTCTCTCTAGCATGTCGAGCCATTCTAGCGTGCAAGGTAAATAGCCTCAATGGAGCGCTTTGCACCTTACTCACTCTTCCTCAAAGCAGGACACGACCTGGTTGTGAAGCATCCGAGGAGACAGGGCGATGTCTTCAGATGGTCTGTGGCTATCACCTCTGCGATTATGTTTCTGGTGTTGTTCGCATGCTATGGCAGCAGCAGCAGCAGCAGCAGCAGCAACGATACGGCTCGTTCCTTTCTGCTTGCAAAGCAGCTGCAGACCAAGGGAACGAAGCGGGCGGGCGAGGCGTCTGGGTCTTCATTCCTTGCGCTTCCAGCCGGGGAACCAGCTTCCATCGACATCATCCTCGGCAGGAACGACAGGATGATGCAGGACCAGGAGCTCCTGGCCAGCCTGGAAGCACAGTCGCAGCAAGTGAGGTCGGAGCTCGCAGATGCCAGGAAGGAGTCCCTTGCTCTGGTGAAGCAGCAGGTGGACGACAAGAGAAGCATGCTGCAGCTACTTGCAAGGCAGAAGAGCCTGGTTCAGGACATGGGGGAAGTCAGCCGTGCCGGGAGTTTTGCTGGGGATGAGAGGAAGGCCGTCAGTGGTGAGCTCTCTCGTTGTTGTTGTGACTGCTACTTTAGAAGCATGTTTTTCTCCCCCCCCTCCTCCCTCTGTCCTCCCTCTCTCCTCCCTCTCTCCTCCCCCTTCGAGGCTCCTCTTTCTCCCTCCGTTCCCGTTCTCGCACTCTCCCACTTCCATCTCTCTGCCTGTTCTCTCATTGTCTTTTGTCCTGCTGAATGGCTCATATCGATCTCTAGTGATGTGCACCTTGTCTCTTATGTTCCACCCCTGCGTTATTTCCCCCCCTGCATCCTGACTGTTTCCTTCTCTCCTCTCCTCTCCTCTCCTCTCCTCTCCATGTCCTTTTCTCTCCTCTCCTCTCCTCTCCTCTCCTCTCCATCTCCTTTTCTCTCCTCTCTCTCCTCTCCATCTTCTCTTTGTCTCTTCTCTGTCTCTTTCCTTCCCCTTCCTCTCTCCTTTCTTCTCTTCAGGTCATGGAGCATCTTCAGCTCAGCAGCAACAAGCAGGTAGCTGCGCGCTGTCTTCTGATATTTATGTTTCAAGCCCCTCTCTCCCCCCCCTCCACCCCCAAACCTATCTTTTTCCTTGTCTCCTGATCACCTCCTCCTTCGCAAGCTCACTCTCCCTCTTCCTCGTCTTGTTGTATCCGTCAGCTTTTTCTCATCCTCGCGATCTTCTCCCTCCCCTCGCTCGTCTTTCCATCCTTCTGCTAATCATTTGCTAGCAGGCGACCAAGTCATTCATCGAGGGCCTCCGTAAAGGATCGTGGGCACGTCGTAGTTCAACATCTTATTGTTTATAGAACAGTTGTCTGTGACAGTGTGGGCAAGGTCTTCACGGAAGAGGAGAGCGCGATGGAGGCATACTGGGCGGGAGGGTGAAGGGAAAACCAGGAGGGAGAAGGTGTGAGGTAGGTAGATAGGGAGGAGGAAACAGGAGAGGAATGAGCCGGGAAGACGAGGATAGGAAAGATGGGCATAATGCAAATAGCAAGTCTCTTGCCTTGAGAAACGACAAAACAGGTCAAGAGAAACTTTCGAAGTTGCCAAACACAACTATCCAACCAAACACAACTATCTAACCAAACCTCTTACTCAACGTCTGTTCTTCCGCATCCCTCTCCCTCTCCCTCCCCTCTCCCCTTCTCTCCCCTCTCCCCTTCCTCCCCACATCTCCGGAAGCATCGCCGGCATGTAACTAAACTTTCCCTGTCACATTCTGCACCCCGTGAAATTGTGAAATCCCCCCGACTCATTTCGTTCCCGTTCCCAAGTCCCTCCCTCCCCCCTCCCTCCCTCCCTCCCCCGTTCCCCTTCTCCACCTTCGCGCTTCCTATCTTCCTCTCCTCGCTTCTTCTCCTCTCTCCTCCTGTCCTCCCCTCCCTCCCCTCCCTCCCTCCCTCCCTCCCTCCCCCTCTCAGATCTCCAGCTCCTCCCCCCTCCTTCTCCCTCCCTCCTTCTACCCCCCGGTTCCCTCCTCATTCTGCACCTCTAGACACGAGCAGATCTCTCCCTCCTCTCTCCCTCTCTCCCCTCACCTGCCACTTTAATTAGATGCTTCTGTCTCCTCCACATGTCCTCTCAGTGGAACTTTCGCACATGTTCGGTGCTGCTGCTGCTCCTCCTCCTTCTCGATCGCTCCATGAATCATGCCATCGAAGTGACCAACTTCATCGTCGAGCGATTCGATGCTCCGAACGAGTCGTTGTTGGTCCTGTCCTACAGCATTGAAAGTCGGCGGGCAGAACTTCCACGCTGTGGAGGCCTGAGACTTTCATTCCATGGCATTAGCAGCTTGTTGTTTGCGAACATGACGAGAGTCAGGTTGTTTGACAGTGAGAATGCGATCTGCGATGACTGTGAGCTCGTCGTACCTCGAACAAGCTTGACGTGCGTCAAGTATGCAAGGCTGACCAGCCAGCACTGGAGGGAGCAGGTCAGGTATGTAGAGGCACACGTCATGCAGGGAGCAACAGCTGCCAGCATCGGCACGTCCCAGCTCATTGAGGGCGAATGGTGTGTGAGCAGCTCGCAGCCGTATGCTTGCGCTCCTGACATCTTTCCCAGCATCCATGGCAGCATCGAGGAGCTGGCAGCAGCACGGCAGCAGCAGAGGCTCCTGACGTCCATGCACAAGGGACGGGGGCAGGGGTGGGGGCGGGGGCAGGTGGAGCAGCAAACTTTCATGCTGTGGTGGCTACCCGTGGAGGATTATCTTGTGTTCCAACCTGACCGGTCGCGTGCTCGCCGTCTCACGTTGTTCTCTCCCCTCCAGCACAGCGTCCATGGCTCCTCCTCCTTGGAGTTGGCGTACCAGGTCGACGACCCACCTCCTCGCTTCCTCGTTCAAGTGCTGCTGCAAGACACGGAAGTCCTCTCCTCCCGTCAAGCATACCATGCAGAGACTCTCAAGGGCATCCCAGCAGGGGAGCACCTCCTCCGACTCCGCCTGATCGTGTTCGAGGCCCAGGAAGGGGCCGAGAGCACGGTCATCGACCTTGACGAAAGCTTGTACGAGGAGGTAACCGTCGATCTCAAGATAATCTCAGGTTCCTTCTCCCCCCCTTCTCTCCTCTCCTCTTCCCCTCCACTTCCCTTCTCTTCTTTCCCCTCCTCTTCCTTTCTCTTCCCTCCCCTCAACTTCTTTTCTCTTCCTCCCTCTCACCTTCTCTCCTCATGCTCTCCCTCTCCCTCCTCAGACTCTATCCGGTCTGCTCCCGTCTCCTTCAGCCACCCCAAGATGGAGTTGACCTGCCACGGGCGCTTCTCTCGCTTCTGGAAGCACCAGTACGTCTCATCCTGCTCCTGCTCCTGCTCCTGCTCTCTCGTCAGATCGCTTACTCCTCCACCTCCTCTCTAGCTGCAAGAACGTCGTGTTCTCCAGCACCAGCTCTCAGGCTTTGTTGAGGTTTCTTCCGCTCCGACAGGAGGCAGACGAAGAGGGTGAGGCAGCAATTGAACTTTCTTCATCCTCCGTTGTCCTCGTCCTCGTCTTCATACCTTTCTCCTCCTCCTCCTGCTGCTCCTCCTCCTGCTGCTCCTCCTCCTGCTCCTCCTGCTCCTCCTCCTGCTCCTGCTCCTCCTCCTCCTAAGTCAGTGACAAACCTGTTCGCAGTCTGCTTCCTTATCTCCTACATCTTCCTGCGGGAGCTGCAGGATCAGGACGCAGCCCCGCTGCTCCGGCTGGAGGAGCTGAAGGAGGAGGGAAGAGGAGGAAGTCTTGCCTTGTCCAGCGGGGAGGTATCCAGAGGGTGTGTGCTGGTTCCGCCGCTCGAGAGCTCCAGCGATCGTCTTCTGCATGCTACTCTGCTCGACGCGCAAGGGGAGCCAGTGGAAGGAAGCACCTTCATCCTCCACTTGTCCTATCCCGAGGCCCTAAGGAGGTCCGGAGGCAACCTGTCTGCTCCTGCTTCTCCTTCTCCCACTGCTGCTGGTCCTCCTCCTCCTCCTCCTCCTCCTCCTCCTCCTCCTCCCTCTCCCCCCGACGCATCCCAAGGAAGCTCCAAGACCGCCTGGGTCACGTTGGCTGCTACCGACAGCTACGCCGTTGGCGCCCTGCTCGCCCTGCGCTCCATCCGGTGACAACCCGCGCAATTGTCAACCTCCTGAACCTCAGCTGAATGGCAGCTGGGCCTGTCGCGGTCGTGCTTCAAGAGACTTTGTCATCCTGGCGTCGAGAGAGGCGAGTCAGCACGCGCAGTTACGCCCACCTGACGTCGAGCTTGAGACCAGCTGCTTTGGAAGCAGCAGCTGGAGGAGGAGGCGAGAGTCGAGGGCTTCCTCATCCGTTGGGTCGACCCGATCAGGTCGAAACTCCCCCAGCTCGATAGCCGCAACGAGCTGGAACTGGTGAGCTGGGCCCAAGCTGGGGTGTGCGAGTGACTCGGGGCAGGGATACTCGAAGCTCCACCTGTGGCAGCTCGTCGAGTACCAGCGGGTCTTCTACGTGGATGCTGACAGCCTGGTGAGCTGCGGGCCAGCTGACTGCCCAGCTGTTGACCTGAAGGCTCTTCCCAGCTCTTCAGCTGCCCAGACGAGCTCTTCGACGGCTCTCAAGGCTTTCTTGCTGGCTCCTCCCCCTCCGCTCCGCCCGACGGTGACCTGCGACTCTCTTGCCCTCGCTGCTCTGCTCACCCGCCAGCTGCAGTCCAATTCAATGACCATCTAGGAAGGAAAGTTCTCCGTCACTCTGCCGCAACTCTGGCCATCGCCACCTGCATCATGATCCTGACGCCCTCCCTCGCCACCCATCAGCTCCTCCAACTCTACGCCGAGTCAGCGCAATCCTTCGATGTGACGTCTCCCGCATCTCCTCCATTTAGTCCTCCCCCCCCCCCACTCCTCCTCCTCCTCCTTCTCCTCCTTCTCCTTCTTCTTCTTCTCCTTCTCCTTCTCCTTCTCCTCCTTCTCCTTCTTCTTCTTCTCCTTCTCCTTCTCCTTCTCCTCCTTCTCCTTCTTCTCCTTCTCCTTCTCCTTCTCCTCCTTCTTCTCTTCCTCCTGAAAATCTGTTTCTCGTTCTGTCCTTAACTTTCGTGACTCTGCTTCCTGCGCTGACCGCGCAAGCACAGGGTTCGGATCGCGGGCTGTTGCTCCCTTTCGTCGATTCCTTCCTACCACCCACCGTTGTAGCGTGGAAGAGGACGGTACATTCTATTCTATGTTCACCGCACTCCTCTGCCTCCTCCTGTATACTTCCCTCCTCCCACTCTCTACTTCTTCCTCCCTCTCTACTTCCCTTGTTTCTTTCTCCTTCCTGTTCCTAGTCTCCTAGTCCTGCATGATCGCTGACGTCTCTTGCTCAGGCCGGTCTCTTCAAGCACATCTGGTCCGATCCTCATCTCCCAATTATGGGAGTCGATTACAGTGGCGTGCCGAAGCCATGGCAGGAAGGGAATGACAAGAGAAGGAGGAGGAGGAGGAGGAGGAGTTGCGCTGGGGGGTGCGGGGGTGCGAGGTGGTAGAGAAGAGGAGTAGGAGAACGGAATAGGTGGAGGGTGTGGCGGAAGAGGAGGAAGGGAGGGGGTAGGACTGAGTTTGCCCCAGGTGGTCTTCGCCATTTGATCCGATCGACAAGCAGAACTACTGGCCCATCCTGCTTGAGTGGTGGGAGGAATACTGGTGAGAGGAGCCGAGAAAAGGGAAGGGAGAGTGAGGGGAACGGAGGAAGGTCACTTGGAGCAAGGGCCATAGAGAGGAGGAAGGGGATGAGGTTGATTCGAGAGCAGGAGCTACAAGGGAGTCTTTCCCCATGAAACGCCGACAAAATGGGCAGCGACGAAGAGCATGTATCAGGTGATGACAACAAGCAGTAAAGTCGCACAACACTGTAGCTTCCGGTGACACTTTCGACTTTCAGGAGGCCACCACTGGAGCGCAGGAGGAGGAGCAGAGATAAGACCAGGACAGGCCCCGACTCCCTCAGAGAGGACACGTGAAACAGATAAAATATTTTGACTGTTCTCGACCAGGAGGAAGGGTCATATCCCACTGAAGATACTTTCCTCGTCCCCTCTCTCGTCCTCCCTCCTATCTCACGTTGCTGTTCTCCTTCACTCGCTCCGCAACCTACACCAATCATCAGCAAGACCCCAGCAGAGGGCACGATAGAGGCATTACAATCGGATGCCCTCCAGCCAAGACCGGCATCGACTTCTTGTAGGTCACCTGCAGCCCAGCTCCGACCTGCCACCTCATCATTATCATCCCAGCAAGAACCCCAGCAGGGATCTCACCTTAAGCTCGAGCTTCTGGAACACCTTCAGCTCCATGTTCTCGGCCACCACTGTGTCCGCCCCCTTGGCCTCAAGCTTCGTCCCAGGGGCGACGGAAGTGTCAGCAACCTGCAGGAGCCCCTGGACTTTGGTGGGCTTCTGCTGGTCACCCACAAGCACCATCCCCTCGCTCTTGATCCCCTTGAACTCCGCAGGCTTCAGGTTCATCAGCACGACGACGCTTCTGCTCTGCAGCTCGCTGACTTCATACTTCCCCTTGAGGCCAGCACAGACCGTCTTGACTCCCAGCTCGTCTCCAAGAAACACTTTGAGGACGTACAGGTTCTCTGCCTCTGGATGGTCCTCCACGCTATCGATCCTGCCCACACGCATGTCGCAAGGGAAGATCTCTTTCTGCTCGGTGACTGTCTTCTCAATCTTCGCATAGAGAACATCTCCCACATGGGTAGTGGTTCCAGGTTTCAGATTGTTGAAACTAGGATCGAGCTTGGGAATGCTGACCGGATTGGTTCCCAGCTTGCAGAACATCTCTAAGGAGCCGTTGGGAAGCAGAGGCTGCAGAAAGTGAGCGAGAATGTACATGGCCTCCAGCACCGATCGACAGACGACCATCCTCTTGTGTTGCGCTTGCTCCTCTGTCACCCCGTTGGCCGGGTCGGCCTTGATGTGCCAAGGAGCCAACTCAGTAAGATACTTGTTGGTATCCTTGACCGCTGTCAAGACAATCATGGCAGCATCCTGCAGTTGAAAGGCCTCGTAAGCTGCACATGATTCGGCGCACAGTCGGAGGAAGTCAAAGCAAGGTTCAGCTGTGACATCCGGAACCTTACCACCGCAGTACTTCTGAGTAATGTTGGTCGCTCTGTGCATCAGATTTCCAAGTGAATCGGCAAGTTCTGCATTGTGCATAGTGGACAGACCCTCCTCTGCAAAGGGGATGTCCTGACCAAAGGGAGAGGCGTAGGCAAGGTAGAAGCGGAAAGAGTCCGAAGAGAATTTGTCTAATTGCTCATGAGGGTCAATAACATTGCCCAAGCTCTTTGACATCTTCTTGCCCTCCTTATCATTGATGAAGCCGTGAGCATACACACACTTTGGAAGGGGCATCTCGCAAGAGAATAGCATACATGGCCAGATTACACAATGGAACCAAATGATATCTTTGCCAATCAAATGAATGTTGGCGGGCCAAAAGTCACGATTTGGGCCATCGGGCCAGTCACACCCGGTGACATAGTTGGAGAGGGCGTCAAACCAAACGTACATGACATGCTTCTTGTCTGATTTCAACGCAGGGTGCTCAGGCACAGGGATACCCCAATCAAAGTTTGTTCTAGAGACGCTGAGGTCCCTCAGGGGCTCACGCAGCTTCGCCAGGATTTCATTGCGTCTGAAGACGGGCTGAATGAAGTCTGCATTCTTCTCGATGTACGCAAGGAGGCGATCTTGATATTTAGACATGCGGAAGAAGTACGATTCTTCCGTGCGCTTTTCGAGTGGCTTTCCAGATGAGGGATCCTTGTAATCGCTTGCTTGGGCTTCCGTTTCAGTTACGAATGTTTCTTCCCTCACATTATACCATCCTTCATAGGTATCGAGATATATATCCCCAGCATCTGCAGCCTTCAAGAACAAAAGCTGTGCAAGTTTCTTATGCTTATCCATGGTGGTTCGGATGTAGAAATCATTTGAAATTCCGAGCCTCTTATTCAGCTCTTGGAATGCATTGGCATACTTGTCACAGATGTCAATCGGTTTCACACCAAGGTTCTCCGCAGTGTCTGCAATCTTCTGTCCGTGTTCGTCAGTTCCAGTGAGGTAGAACACTTTCCGTCCATACGCGCGATGCCACCTAGCGATGATGTCGGAGGTCACCGCCTCGTAGGCATGACCCATGTGTGGGTTTCCGTTGGTATAGTTGATGGCCGTAGTAATGTAGAATCTCTCCTCACTTGCATCCTTCGGTTTTGAAGGAGGAAGCAACGTGCGAGCAGATCGGCACCTCAGTCGTACAAGCGCGTCCTTGCAGCATTGAACCCCCGACATCATGTTGAACCACTCCTCCACTGCTGGATACTTTGACTTGTCTGCGTCGCTCAGAACACCACCAGCACCATAACCAGGGTAGAGCGCAGCCCATATGGCTACGTCAGCAAGAGATAGACTGCTGAGCAGGGGCTTCGGAGCACCCGCTGTACAAACCTTCTCCATCTTTTCCAAAAATTTGGCAGCCTCTGACTGATGCGCAGAAGTGTCTGCGGCACCGAACGCGATGTCTGTGAACCATCCCAGTGCCGACTTGTCAAGGGCTGTTTCAGCCTGTTCCAACCACTCCTCGACCAGTTTCCCTTCACTCGCGTGATCGGGCCCAATCACCGTTTCCTTGTCGGACGCCACAGACAGGATGTATCGGCAGATTGCGTTCGAGCCAAAGACCTCCACCGTTCCAGCACTGTAAAGAGGATAGCCTTTCAACTGCGTGCTCAACGGGACTTTATCAAAGACGACGTCTTCCTTGGTCGCCTGCACTATTGCCGCACATTTGAGAGTGTGGATGTCGTGAGCTCTGAACCTGATAGGAAAGGACACGTCAGAGAGATCGACCGATCATGTGAGGTCAGGACGATGAATGTTGATTGTTTGCATGATAGTCAAATCAGAGATGCTCTAAATCCTACGATCCTTCAACCCTTCTTTCGATCCGTTGCTTCCTTAAAACAACCCGAACCAAATTTCTAGTCACTCATTCCTCTTGCCGTCATCCTGTACTTTGCCAGTGCAATGCTCTATAGAACCATTAGATTCTCGCCCTCCTGCTCTGCATCGCAACGACGTTCCCTGCATTTCGCTTACCTGATGCTTCCTTTGCTTGTTGCCATCGCTCGCCACGCGTCTGATCGAAAGCGACCCTCGCCCACCCCACCCCTCCATTTCCCGATAACTACCCTTCTTTGGGTAGGCACAAATCCCTACCAATCATATACCACCCTACCTGGCAAACAATTTTGACCCCACCTACTCTGAAAATACGGAAATTATTACCAAATCAAGGGGTATTTTTATTGGGATAGTATGAACATTTGACAAGCGGGGTGGGTACTTTAATAACTCAATTTCTATTCATTAGCCCCCCTTCCCTACTGATCGTTGTACTGATATCTCTTACATGTTTTTTTATTTTGTATTATTATAAATGTATATATATTTGTTAGTACCATGAACTCAGTACAATTATTGTTCTATTCCTGCCACTCAGTAGTTATGAGCCTGACTCAGTCGGATCGCCGTTTGGCGGCGCCGCGGGCCCCGGCGCGGCCCGGCCGGCTCACAGTCACACTTTACTCAAAGTCAGTCAGTCGCAGTGACTCAGGCCGCACTCGGAGTCACACTGGCTGACTCAGTGATTGTCCTCGTACTGATCTTTAACTTAACTTTGAGTAAAAGTAGGCTGCCATTCGGCCGCCCGGCCGGAATCATGGCATCCGTGATGGCCGCGCAGTCGCGGCCAGTCGGATCGGGCAGTGACTCTGACGGATCAGACTCTGTCAACGGGTTCGCCGGGTCGCCCCCGCGCGGCCGCGGCCCGGCCGCGGGGCAACAGTGAAACGCCGGGTTCCGTGTTCGGTTCCGGGGCCCGGCGACAGGCTCAGTGGCCCAGGCCGCCGGAGCCAGGCCCGGTCAGTGTACCGGGCCCGGGCCGGTGGCAGGCTCGGCCCGGCACTGAACGGTGATAGGACCGCCGGACGCGGTGCGGCTGCCGGCCGGTCTGGGCCGGCCAGGGACTCCGGGAGCCGCGGGCCCGGGCCGTGCGGCCCGGCCCCCGGTGCGGCCGCCCACAGCCCGCCCGGCCGCCGCGCTCGCCGCAGTGGGCGGCCGCGGGGCCGCGTGGCGCGGCCGGCCACCGAATATCCGTAGCCTGATCCAAGCGACGATTCCGATCCAGGCAGGATGAAAAATCAGGGCATCACTGCCGTTCTGTGATCAGTCCCAGATGGCAGTTATTACTACTAGGCTTCACTGACGCCGACTTACGTCTAGATCTGTGGTGAAACGCAGCTTGAATCTATGCAGTCTGTTGCCGGAACTTCCGAGAAGGTATATAATTTTCAATCTCAATTGTACTAAGTTGGAATTATTTTCTGTGAAATTGAACTGTCATAGTATAGAGACGTGAAAATGTATCTGAATGGAACCCCTGATTCACTGATACCCTTCTGTTTCTGATCTTTAACTTAACTTTGAGTAAAGAAGTTAGCTAGCTTCTGTTTCGTTGTGTGGAGGCCGGAGGCTGTAAGGCCCGCCTACTCGAAGGAGTTTACTCAAATATACTCGAAATAATTTCAAGCAGATCGAATCTTGAAGGGCAAGTAAAAATTGTTTCCGAAATCTCTGGATGAATCATGAATAATCTCTACTCCAAATTGAACATGACTTAAACTGAATACGAAATCGTTTTGAAATCCTTGATTGCGGAGGGATGCACCGATGATTCCTCGTGACCGGCTGGTAGAAATTGAAAGCACCTCTTTTCAGTTATCAAAAAGGAGTACTTCCCCCAGAACAGGTTATCAGCGATCAAAGAGGGCATAAAACCAGGATGGTGGGGTACTTTTCCGCAGAATATCACGGGTACCTTATTGCGGAGTTCCGGTCCGTGACAGCTTTGCATGTGACCATGTGACGAGAAAAGGTTTCGGACCCTTTATTACCCTCCTGTCCTCTCCTTGAGCCAGCTGTTCTCGAGTCACACGTAAGCGCCAAGACCCAGTATAGTTCTCGTTCTCGTTCTCGTTCTCGTTCTCGTCCTCGTCCTCGTCCTCGTCCTCGTCCTCCTCGTCCTCCTCGTCCTCCTCGTCCTCGTCCTCGTCCTCCTTGTCCTCCTCGTCCTCCTCGTCCTCGTCCTCCTGGTCCTCCTCGTCCTCCTCGTCCTCCTCGTCCTCGTCCTCGTCCTCCTCGTCCTCCTCGTCCTCCTCGTCCTCCTCGTCCTCCTCGTCCTCCTCGTCCTCCTCGTCCTCCTCGTCCTCCTCGTCCTCCTCGTCCTCCTCGTCCTCCTCGTCCTCTCCCAACTTCTCCTGTTGTTATCCATTTCTGTCAGCTTTCGAGGCAAAGTATTCGATCCAGCTCAGCCACTACGTACGACAGTCGTCAACGTATCTTTACACATTCTACAGTGGATGTCACTTGCATCCAGCGTTACTATCAAGCTCCAAGAAAACTTTTCACTTCAGTTTCCCTCAACTGAAAACTCTTCGGAGGATGAATCAGAAAGCAATGTCTTGTACAATGAATTCGACGAAACTCGCCTGGCTGGATTGTCCGAAGAAACCTTAAAACGTGTTAGGTGTCTGCAAAACTCGATTGGGCTGATACTGCGGCTCCATGATCAAGCAAAGAGGAGTGGACTTCCAACAAGGTTGCCTAGTGTCAGTGATAGTTCGTAAGTATTAGTTTATGTGATCTAATTTGAGACAACATTTGTACATTAATTTATGACAAACTCGACAAGTTTCTTGTTTGCTCGTCTGCACGTGAGAGGAATTTTGATTACTCTACTTGTTTCAGATCCCATGCAGCAGAAGAGCGTGTTCGTTGATCCCGTACCATGCTAGCAGCTGTTGGGTTCACTTCTATACACGATTGACACAACTTGTTCCCAAGGAAGGTTTCGCTCAAGGTCGCGAGGCTCGTATGTCAGTGTTGAGCGGTTGAAGCTCAACCTTGGAAGAAGCAATCTTGCAAAAAGCTCTGTTAAACAGTTGCATGTTTTACAGAAAGAGCCTAGTCTAAGTGATGAACATTACTGCTGCTGACATCAGTCGCGGCGCGCGGTCCTCCTCCAGCAACGTCGATCAGCTGATGACGCCATTTTGCTTGTCGCGTGCGTGCGTGCAGTCGTCATTGCAGCAGCCAGGTCTCCACCCCTTGATATCTGCGGCTCCCCGGATGGAACAGGGCCCGGTAGCTTCATCACGATGGGATGTAACTCCAAATCTGCGATGGAACTTCAGCATCAAACTACAGGTGCTCAAGAGAGAATTGACATCTTGTCGGAGGATTCTTATTTCTCGAGTTCGACTTTCTTTCTCACACGACTCTTTACCTTCGAGTAGCTGTTCATCGCATCGGAATGACAGTGTCGTTCTTGAAGGCCGTGATATTGCGCAGTTCGACTGTTTGATTGCTCTGCCATGATCTTTCAATACTACTACTACGTGACACTTCAATGACTGCAACCACGCAAGCGACGGCAGGCACGATAAGCAAGGGAACAAGGATCAGGACGAAGAGCAGTAGCGCAAGGCTCCTGTGAGGAGGACCGGGCAAGACCCATGCGAGAGCGTTACTGCCGCATTTGCCCTCACCCAAAAGCGAAATTATACGATTAAATTTGAAATATAAACATGCATTTGAAAATGGTTCCTAGCTGGCAGAAGCCGTCGGATCAAAGACAGCGAGGAATGAAGCGGCAACGCAGGAACGGAGGGAACGAGGAGGAGGAGGAGGAGGAGGCTGCAGCTGCCAAACGCATCAAACGACTGAAACCAAGCGATGAAGGCTTCTGGAATACTGTCAAGATATGTAGAGGCCACACTGACGAGGTATCCAGCGTTGCCTGCTCTCCTGGAGGGGACTGGATTGTATCAGGTTCTTGGGACAAGACAGTGAGGATCTGGGACCAAAGAAGCCTAGAAGAGATCTGTTGCATGAAAGGTCATGCACAGCGAGTGACTTGTGTCGCATGGATCGGAGATCCAACAAGAGAGGTTGTCGCGTCTGCTTCTGAGGATGGTACAATCAGGACGTGGGAGATGAGTGGAAGAGAGTTGAAACGTTTCGAGGGACATACAGGCAGTGTCACAAGTATTTCATGTTCCCCCATCTTCCTGGATAGGTTTGCCTCAGCGTCTGAGGACATGACAGTGAGGATATGGGGGATAAGCAGTGGAAAGCAAATCAATATTTGCAGAGGACATACAGACAAGATAACAAGCGTTGCATGGTCACCACATGGGCATCGAATTGCGTCGAGTTCCATGGATGATACGGCGAGGATATGGTGTGTATCGTCTGGGCATGAAATAACTCGCTATCAAAGAGGCCAGTCCTTCTTTACCATGCTGTTTTCAGCATTCAAAGCCTCTCCCAAGGCTGATCGATCAACTTCACCCTCGGGAATCATGAGCGTAGCATGGTCGCCGTGCGGAATGATAATAGCCTCGGGATGTTCGGACAAGACAATCAGGTTATGGAGTGCGGCAATGTCCACAGAGTTATATCGCTGTGAGGGACACACAGGTTTGGTCACGGGTCTCGCATGGTCCAAGAATGGGGATCTGATCTCTGGTTCTGATGACGGCTCAGTGAGGATATGGAAAAGACAACCCTCGTTACTGTTCTCGCAATGGGAACAACTTCTTTGCGGTCAGAATTCGAATTCTGCTCCAGTGAACAGCGTTGATTGTTCACCTAATGGACTGAGCATCGTCTTGGGCTCCCGTGACAAGACAGTGAGAATATGGCAGCAAGATTGTTGGAAAATTCTACAAAGCTATAAAGTGCACTCTGACCGAGTTGCAAGCGTCGCATGCTCCCCAGATGGAAAGATGATTGCCACTGGATCTTGGGATAAGACGATGCGGACATTCAATCTGACTGGCACGAAACTTCACGCACAAAAGCTCTATCAAGGACATGCCGGGTATGTCAGGAGTGTCGCATGGTCTCCATGTGGAAAGCTGATTGCCTCGGGCTCGGAGGACAAGATTATCAGTCTATGGAGCAGCGGGAGCAACCCTGGCAAAGTCAGAGACTTGATAGGACATCAAGAGCCGATCACAAGCGTCGCTTGGTCTCCGGATGGAGCTCTGCTTGCATCAGGGTCCTGGGACATGACTCTGAGGCTGTGGGAGGTCAGCAGCGGCTCGGAGATCAGGTGCTTTCGAGGCCACGAACGTCGCGTCACGAGTGTCGCTTGGTCGCCAGATGGGAGAAATATCGCCACGGCTTCATGGGATAGGACTGTGAGGATCTGGGAGGTGAGCAGCGGAAGATGTTTCAAACGCTGCTTTATCGAACTGGAGACTGCTGTCTATACCAGCGTCGCATGGTCACCAGACAGTAGGAAGATTGTAACTGGATCTGATCAAGGATCCGTAATTGTATGGGAGGTGAGCAGCATCAAGCCTTTGAAGCTCAACAACAACAGTAGAACACGTACGGCCGCTAGGATGGTGACAAGTGTTGCTTGGTCACCAGATGGAGACAAGATTGCTTCTGGATTTGAAAATGGCGTTGTGACATTGTTAGATGTATGCTGCTGCACTACAGAGAACGTGCTTTGCATAGGCAGAGGAAATATCATGCACCTGGCATGGTCAAGTGATGGATCTCATTTCACTTGTGGGTCAGAAGACGGCACCATCACCATAATTTCGTCGGAGTGACGCCGCCGCGGTGAGCCGGGCTCAGCCTCCGAGGCTCCGACTGTGACCCTGGCAAGGGCCTGGCCGTCAAACAGGCTTGTGACTTTTTTCAAGAGCCAAGTACACTGTGACTGCAGTCAGTAAAGCAAAGCCTAATTGCGCGGCCACTGATACGGGACCGGAGGCTTGCTATTGAACTTCGGAATGTCCGGCCCCACCCGTCACGGCGGGCCCTCAGTGACTACCCTAGTACCGTAGTACGCGTGACCGTGGCGGCGGGGACGCCGGCCCGGCCCGCGCCCCCCCCCTCAGCGGGACCGCGCGGCCCGGCGGCCCTTGGCGACGGGCCGCGGGCCGGGCCTCGTCAGAAGCGGCGGGCCCGGCCGGCAGTGCAAGAAGTTGAAAGGGGTGGGGTACTGTAAGGGTATGGAGGGGGTGGGGTAGTGTGGGTGAAATCCTGCCATTGAGGGATAGGGATGCCTTGGTGAATGACTGAAATCTGAGACTTGAAAAGAGGTATTTTCGATGTATTCGTTTAAAACTAGGAGGAACGAATGATTAATTTTGAGTAATTTCCAAATTTTTCAATAATTTAGACTACAAAATTGGAAATAACCTGATTAATTTCAGAATATATTTCATTTAATTTTGTTTTAAGAGCTGTTCTGAAATCGATCCTCTATATTTTATGTATAAAACCCTTCAGTACAAACTCGAGTAGAGGTACCGAGTTATTTCCAAAGATAGCGACACTTTTAAAATCTAAAACCCGGTGTCTTACAAACTCATACGAAAGATGGCCTGTGACGGGCGCTGGTGCAGGGGTACGAGGCGATGGAGGGCGCGGGGAGGGTATGAGGAAGGAAAGGATGCGATGATCTATGATGAACAAGCTGAGGGCCATGCCGGCATGAAATCATTCAAAACTCGATGTATCTCGATTACATTGAGGGTCGACTATGAGTTCCATGATGTAGTGAGTGATTCCACCACCAATGATGACTTAGTTTGAAAGAGAGTGCTCTGTAACAGCCGCTTCCATGTTGGTCCTTACTTACTCTTATGATGGCAGGGATGCGCGGTGTCGAGCGAAGGAAATGCTTGTTGGCCTCGGTAAGAGGCGACCTCTGTTGCAATGACAAATCATGACAATTCTTGCAGATGCTGGTTCTTTGCCTTCGATCTTGTGAGAGTTTTCATGTTTGCAATCCCATTTCTGCCCATAGAAGTCTTTCTGCGTCCAGAAGCATGTGCTCCAGGAGACTCGGGGTCAAATCGAGCGCCGTCATCCCTGCAGACGAGCCCCTCGAGAGGAATTTGGTGGACAGACTGAAGGACAAGCTGAAAGACAAGCTTTACCAGAGGAACTCCAGGAGAACCGATGTCGAGAAGAGGCAAGTGTGGACGGTAGATGAGATGGATGAGCTGCTAGATGCTGGGAGACTCTCGTTCGAGGAGATGAAGATCGTGGGAGATGTTGCACTGGACAAGAAGGCCACTATTCATCCAGTCCTCCAAGTGCTCATGCAGCGCCGAAGAGAGTCTTCCAAGCCCGGGCAGAGGAGCGATGGCTTCAAGGTTGCTCTAGCCATTGAAGGAGGAGGCATGCGCGGGTGCGTGGCGGCGGGCATGGCTGCGGCAGTGAAGGACGCTGGATTCCATGATTGCTTCGACGCGGTCTACGGGTCGTCGGCGGGGTCGCTCATCGGAGCCTACTGGATCGCGAATCAGTTCGGGATGCCGCAGTACGGCTGCTCCTTGTACTACGACCTGCTGACCGACGAGCGGGCTAAGGAGAACTTCATCGACCGCTCGCAGATCCTCCCGCTCATCGGGCTCAGGTGGCTGCGATGGTTGATGCCGAGGTCGATCAAGGAGACGCTCGGGATGAGGGCGCGGCGTCCGCTGCTCAACCTGCCGTACCTGCTGCAGACCTGCGTGGAGGAGCTGCGTCCTCTTGACTGGGAGGCGTTCAGCAGGAACGAGGCCTTGGTGCCTCTCAAGATCGTCGCGAGTGACGTCAGCAAGCAGCGGGCGGTGGTCTTCGACCGGGAGCATGGTCACTGGACCTCCCTGCGGGAGATGACAAGGTGCATGACAGCTAGCATGAATCTTCCTGCCATCGCCGAGCCGCTTGTCACCCTCCCTGGGCTCGACTCGCTCCTCGCCGATGCACAGCTGTACGAGCCCATCCCGTTCAAGTCGGCGGTGGAGGATGGGTTCACGCACGTGCTGGTGCTGCGGACGAGGCCAGACCAGCAGGATGTGGTTCCGAAGAAGTCGAAGATGGAGGAGAAGATGATGGATCATTTCTTCCTCCGCAGGTATCAGCTCCCCCACATCTACGACTACCTCGTCAACCAGGAGCACAAGAAGACGTACGCTAGGGACATCCTTGCGCTCAACCACGCGGCCCACCACCCCCCAGAGGACACCCCCCAGCTCCTCGCCATCGCTCTCGGCTCGAACAGCTCCGAGATCGGAAGGTTGGAGTGCAGAAGGGAAGCAATCTTCCAGGGGGTCTGCGACGGATACCGCTCGGCATGGCAGGCGCTGCATCCTCCAGCTGCTGGAGTTGACCATCGCAATCCGGACGAGGCAGTGGCAGCAGCGTTTCCTCATACGATCGTAGAGGAGACTCCTCAGCTCACTCAGAGGTGACTATCCTCCACCCCTGCTCCCGTCCGCGTCCGCCCCCCCCCTGGTCTCAACGTCGTCTTCATCCTCATCCTTTTCCTCTCCCTTTCCCTCTTTCTTCCACTTGCGTTCTGCTGTTCGCCCTGCTCTTTCCTCTCCGCTCCCTCTTTCCTCTCCGCTCCCTGCCTTGCGCCATTCATCCCTTCACTCGTCCCTTCACTGATCAATTTTTCCCAGCTCCTGGATTGAATCCTTCAAGAGGCGAGCAAATCAGCGCAAGGAAACATAAGGAAACGAAACATGCAGGAATCTGTGTACTCGTTGTGACTATAACTTCTCCTATTGTAACTTTTCCTTCTCATCCGCCTGCCTTTTCAGCCATTCTCACCAGCTCCCCCCGGCTCCCCCCGGCTCCCTCCCCTGTCCTTCCCCTCGGATCCCTCCCCATTTGATCTCCGAGAGCGTTCATCCGATGTAAGAGCAGGGAGGGAGATGAAATCCTTTATCCTCATCCTCTGCGACTCCGACGAGTTGCTGGAGCCAGCAAATCAGCACGTTGCTGGAAGGAAGAAATAACAGAGGCATGAAGGGAGAAGGGGAGGAGACGAGGGGAGAGGGATTGGGGATGGAGATCATCAAGTGGGAGGGAAGGAAGTGGGAGGACACGAGGAGACAAGTCGGGAGGAGGGGCAGCGGAGGAGGGCGATGACCTTGTGCAAGTTGAAGAGGATGTCTTCGTTGTTTCTGCCAACGAACCACAAGATTTCCTGTGCGGCGGAAACCATGTAATGCTGCGTAATCATGATAAGACTCCTCCTCCTCCTCCTCCTCCTCCTCCTCCTCACCCCCCCCGACACCTCCTCGTCTTCCTCCTAGACCTGCTCCTCCTCGTCCACCACCACCATCATACTGTTCACTTTCTCTTCGTCCTCCTCTCACCAGAAGTGAAGAAGGAACGGCATCCTTGAGCTCGTCGAGCAGTTGTGAGAGAGGAGGAGATAAGTAAGGAGGAGAGACAGGCGAGTTGAAGCGAAGGCTGAGAGCAACAGCGCTGAGAAACAACATCCTTTGACGACTCCTGTAGATAAACATGAGATTCTCTTGAATTACTGAATTGCCGTCCTGCTCCTGCTCCTGCTCCTGCTCCTGCTCCTGCTCCTGCTCCTGCTCCTGCTGCTCCTGCTCCTGCTCCTGCTCCTGCTCCTGCTCCTCCTCGATCAAGATGCACTTTCGATTCCTGAGCGAACTCCCTTCCATCTCTACATGCGTTTCCTCCCACTTTCCTTCTTTCTGCAGAGCACGAAAGCACCTGCCTCATTTCCTCTCCTCTCCTCTTAACCATCGTATGCTTTCTCTGCTCTCGCTGCCTCCCTTTCTTCTCCTCACCCCCTTGCGATTTGCTGCCATCCAGGATGCTCTGCAACCCGGTCGATGAATGATCGTCCTGCGTTGATGTCACCAGGGGAAACAACAGGGAGAAGATAGTGTGCGCCAAAGACAAAGACAAACCAACAGATCATTGCCTCCGTCATCACCGTCGTCGTCATCATCATCATTATCATCTCCATCATCGTCATCGTCATCGTCATCATCATCATCATCATCATCATCATCGTCATCGTCATCGTCATCATCATCGTCATCGTCATCGTCATCGTCATCATCATCATCATCATCATCATCATCATCATCATCATCATCATCATCTCTGTCATGATCATCTCATCATCACCTGCCGCTGAGCCCAGAATAGACCCCAGCGAGCAACACGTCAGGTCCAGAGCCTTCACGTCCTCCTGCCCCTCCTGTCACCAACAACACCCCCGCGCATGATCTGACCTGCTGGAGGAGGAGGAAGAAAACTCGTAAGACTTCTTGCAGAGTCCGAAGCCCCTCCTCCATCCTGTCCTGCCGATCGGACGGCAAGCAGTGGACACGAGAAGCAGCCAAGTTCCTCAAGATGCGGACTGACTTCTTGGTTGCACCCGAGTCGCCCGTGCTTGTCACTAGCTGGATCAATCGGCTGACTGTATCATCTATACTGTCACTGTATATGAGAACACTGTGTAGGTTCTCGGTGACCTGCCGTTTCGTGAGCTGTCAGCACGTTGGGTCCTCAAGGTGAAAGGAGAGAGTGTTCAAGGAGATGAGATACCAGTAGGTAGAGGAAGGGATGTATCAGGATATGAGGAGGCTAGGATGCATTATGAATCTTTCAACACTCACCGTCGTCATCAGCCTGTCTTGGTCCTCCTCAGGTCGATTGTCTTTGCATGACATCAGCATTTTCAGCACGAGGTCCCCGACCGTCCGTTGACGTCTCTTGCTCAACGACGGAAGCTTCATCATCTCCGAGGCAAAGATCGTGATTGCCTCAGCACTGCTCGCATCACAAGCTCTTGTTATGTTTGCAAAGTCTTCCATCAGTCTGTCACACTCCGAGCTGATCTCCAGACACCCAGCAACAAGTCTGGCTGACTCCCTCCTGACCATCCACCATTGCGATCCAAGGAAGTGAACGCCACCGATCTGGCGTGCAAGCTCCTCGATGAATGCTTTCTCCTCCTCGTTGAAGCTTGTCCTCGATTCGACCAACGTTACGGCCATCTTCAACAATCGCATCGACGACATGTAACTTTCCTTCTTTGAGCTCGTCAATACTTTGAGCTGTGAGTGCAGGAACTCCAACATCTTGCTCGTGATCTTGGAAATCCTCATCTCCATAACTTCCCGGGCAGCAAGAGCTAAAAGAACAACCCCGTCCAGCTCTTGTGATAAGAAAGCAATCTCGAACAACTTTTGTGAAAGAGCCACAAGATGACCGTCCTGAGCCTGGAAAGACAAGAATGAGCGTTGATCGAGATGGCGGGCAAATGACAATTAGTGGTCTCAAAACGACGAGTGTGATAGAACGTCTCAACGTCGGGCAACGTGAACAGTTTCTAAGGGTGTTACATCATTCACTCACCTTCATCTCTGCTGCAGCCTCCATCATCCCAACAATCGCTTCCCCAACAAGACTCGCATGACTTCTACTTGCCGTGGGATCTCTGGCGATCTCTATCAGACTGTCTTGGAACATTTCGGAGAACTTGTCGGGCGGGAGGAAAACGCTGAGGGTCCTCCACATCTCAACATGGCTGTAGCTCAGCAGCGAGAGGAACGGATGGAGCTGAGATTGTTGATTCTGAAACTCCTTGACCTTATTGAGATCTTGTGAGCACATCCAACTCCTGATATTCGTGAAGACTTTGCAATCTTCTATCATCGGAACTGTCAGCTCCTCGTCGCTTTGCTTGTGATCAGTCTCGTGATCGTTGACAAGACGGGATATCCACAGCCTTCCTCTCTTCTTGCTGGGTTGAACCAACTGCTCTCTCCCTTCCTCCCTCCCCACCTTCTCCTTCTCCCCCGTCTCCTCCTCCTCCTCCTCCTCCTCCATCGCAACCTGATTGCTCCTTCCGGAGGATTCCACCTTGTCCTCCGACTTCTCTTCCAGCTGGAGCATGTCGCTGAGATCTTGCTCCTCCTCTCCCTCCATGGCCCTCTGCAGGCCCTTGCTGAGAGCAACCCTGACGTCATCACTCGCGCACGTGAGGAAGGAGGAGCGAGAGAGGAGGCCCAGGGCCCTCAGGGACACCCGACGGGCCGGAAGGTCAGACGAGAGGAAGTTTGTAACGATGATACTTGTGAGTTGAGAGGAGAACTGTAGGAACTCCGCCGACGTGGTCAGTCCTTGGTCGACAAGAGCATGGAGGAGGAAGAGGAGGAGGTTGAAGAGAGCAAACAGCTTTAACTTGGTCTCGATGAGCTGACGAGACGCAAGGTCGACAAGCTTGGAGATCTGCGGCCTCAACGAGCTGAGCTGTCGACCAGCGCAGAAAGTGAAGTCCATCCGGAACAAGCTCGAAGCTTTCATCCACAGCTGCTTGACCGAAGACTGAACGTCGTCGTCCGAGTACTTATAAGACAGCAGAAGACTGTTGACAAGTCCCGTGATGCCCTCCAGGCTGCCCGTCATGACCGTCAGAATGTGCATCTCCTGGTAGCATTCAAGGACTCTGTTGAGCGCTCGAACCCTTCTCAGCTTGTTGGTCTCCTCGTCGTCCTCGCTCTGGTCGTCCTGCTCTGCTGTTGTGAGTTTCTGGACTTGTTCGTCAAGAAAGCGGAGGAGGTGAGACTTGAAGGAGGAAGGGTACAGCTGGGACAGCAGCGGAACGAACGTCGCAGCGGAGATCATCATGCTGAGCCGGTCGGAGAGCAGGGACTGGAGGAACTTGCTCAGCAGCGGCAGCATCTTCGTGGGGATGCTCGAGGGAGACAGCGCTTCCATGTGGCCCCAGAGGAGCAACTTCCTGACGACGAGCTCGTCCTGGAGGTCTCGGAGGGACTGAAAGTCGACCCAGGCATCGTCTCCCACCTCCGACCAGACCTGCAGGCTCTCTTTCACTCTCCTGAGTTCCCTGATGGGGTTGAAGAGAGACGATGAGTCGCCCAGCAGCTCTCCAGCTGCCAGCGTCCAGCACTGCACGCTCTGTTCATCCGAGCAGGTGGCATGCACGGCGTCAAGGCAGCCCAAGATCTCCCCGACGGTCTTCCTGGCCCACTGACGGCACATCTCCTCCATCCCTGGGGGAAAGACAAGTTGTCGGAGAGGAAGGGAGGTGTTGCCACAGGCAGTGACGTCAAACTCCTCGTAGATGGTCGTACACTCCTCCATCATCTCACTCCCATCGTACAGGCTGTACTCAAGGGCGACGGGCTTGGGTGAGAAAAACGAGTCACAAACACCCCCTCGCCCCCACAGCAGAGAAGAAACATCATCGTTGTCCTCTAAATGATCTTTCCTGTTCCTCAAGTCCCACCCTGCCCTCGTAAGGATCGATCCTGCTCCTTGCATGACAGCGCGCAGGATGCCGAGCGCGTTCTGCTGCACAACCCGCTCTGAGAGCGGGGTCTCCTCATATTCTGTTTGGTTGATGATGCTGCGAGGGTTTCTGAGAACCATGAAGCAGACTGTCTTCTGCTCGTCTACAATTCTCATGGCTGCTCTCAGCCTGTCGGGCTCGACTGGATCACACCTCATCTCATTCTGGTTTCCGTGCGATCTGATCGGAGGACATGATGTCCTCAACAGGCCAGAGATGTACTTGTACAAGAGGGTTTGCCCCATCAGTCGGATGTTGTCATCGATAGACCACAAACATCCCGCGATCACCTTCTCGAGCTGTTGTGACAACGAGACGCACATCTTGCTCGACTGCAGAAGCAATCATCAGTGCGAAGAGAACAGCGATGCTGGGTGAGACGATGGACGAGAGAGGAAAATGAGAGAGGAAAAACCATCAGTGATCATATCAGCAAGAAATGGAAGGGGGGCTGCAGGATTTGAATTTTTACACCTGCATGAGGATCCCAAGCATGCGCATAGTGAAGATGATTTCCTGAGGACTGCTCGTTTCGAAGAGGTCGAAGTGCAACCCTCGGATAAAGTTCTCTCTGTTTGAAGAGGCGGGGGAAGGGGAGGGGGAGGAGGAGGAGGAGGGCTGGTCTCTCCAGAAGTCTTCATCGAGTAGGACGTTCAGAATCGGAACATGAAGAGTTTCCCAGGCCGCGTCATCGTCAGCAGCCACGGCAGCTTCAAAGAGACGAGAGACCAGCAACGAGCTGCAGAATTGAGCAAACATCACATCATTGAACGAGGCTCGCATTGCTTGCAGAGCGATTGAGCGAACTCTCGGTGGGACGTTGCGAAGAAGCGACTGAGCGGTGTGTTACTCAAGGCGAGTGAAGGGGAAGGGGGACGAGGCAACGCGAGAAGAGAGGGGAGGAGAGGATATGAGGGTTGAAGACGGTTTAGAGGTAGGAAGAAGGCGAGAAGAACAAAAGTCGATGAGACAAGAGACGGACACAAAGAAAGAGGAAATAAAGAATAGGGTCAACATCTGAGCTCACCTGATGGACCAGCTTAAATCTCTTGTAGATTATTCCAAGAGGGCTCTGATGATGGTACGAGTCCGCTGTCGGGATGTTCTGCATGAAGGTAAACAATTTGTCCATGTAAACTCGGATCCAATGCTCTAGGAAATCGGAGAAACTTTCTTGGTGGTTTTGCTTGCTGCTCCAGCTCTCCAAGAAGGACCACGACTCCTGCTGTCGAGCCATTTCGCCAATCCGCTCGAAGATGGCGAACAAGAGAACCAACGCGGCATCAACGACTTGTAGGTTGCAGGCATCCAGGAGGTTTGGAATGGAAATCAGAATGTGAGACAATCTCGATACATCTAAGAGCTGCAAAGTAGTCAGCGACAATGAAAGATGACAAGAAGGAGGGAGAGAAACGCTACGACAACGACTATGATACGAAGGGGACGGAGGGAATCAGGAACAGGATTATAAACTGGTCATCACCAACTCAGCTAAGTAACTATAGCACCTGAACGTCACCCCTCCGGTGGGTCTTGTTGAAGATAACATCCGGCGATCGAGCAATGATGTTCGCAAGAGTTTTCAAACTGCTCGTTGCACCTTCAGTGGTCTCTGGATCTAATATCGTTGAGATCATCCTATCAAGAGTGATTGATAGAGAAGTTTGGAGATGAGAGTTGTGAGAAGTTTTCGTCATGTGGACGAGAGCGTTGACACCTTTCTTAACTGCAATGTAAAGATTCAGGGAAGGGCGATGAAAGAGAAAATTGAGAAAAGTTTGTACCAAAGGATTCGTTCTGTGCAAACATGGCATCGCAGACTGATGGAAACAGCACTTGTTCAAGTTCTTCAACCTTTTGCCGTAACTGTACAAACCGATGATGTGATTCATTGAAGGTCGCCAAGCGTTCAACCACGCTTTCCATCATTGAGAAGATAGGTCCCTGCCAGTGACCAGGAAAGTGCGGGCTGAAGTTCAAATGTAAGTACGAAGGCATCTTGAAGACTTCATGAGCAATCGTTACCTGGTGAGCTGTTGCGAAAGAGTGATAAGATGATGAAGATAATTGATCGAGAGGTCCGCACGTTCCGCAGAAATTCCCTCGCCCTCCAAACAATGCAAGACTCCTTTGGTAGTGATCTTTGCAATCTCGGCCGCGACATCCTCGATATATTCAAGATCGTGGTTGTCATCGGCCTCATCAGAAGCAAGAGGGGATCTCAAAGTGCTCTGAGTATACACGGACAATGCAGAGAACAACCTAGCAATGAATTCATTCTTTCTCTCTCTCACGGTTCGATCCTCCAGCCCAAGGTCTGTGAAGCAGCTCTCCAACGACTTCACCAACCTTGGCCCTGGAACGTGAGAGAGATGGCACAAGGGAAGATCGCAGGGCAGCATCAGACTCCTCCCAAGCATGTTCAGCAAACAACGTGTAACGTTGAAGTGCAAGTCAGGATCCTCCACCCCAAACTGCAGTGCAGTCGACAAAATCTTTGCAAAGTGCAGATCCCATTCCACACTGCTACCAGGAGATTGCAGCCAGCACTCCACCATCTCCATCACCAAACTTGTGTTCTTTGCGAAGGACGGCGGCATGCTCGTTTCCAGAAGCTGCATGACCTGTCTGTGGCTGTGAAACGTCGGCTTCAAGGAAGTTTTCATGTCCTCCCATAGGACAGACGGCAAGGAATCAGGCAAACAGTGTTTGCTCGCTGCTGCTATGCATCTTGACAACACGTTCCGATGACGAAACTTAACAAGATCCCCCGTGCTCAGCAGCGCAACCTCGGATGCGAATGACCTTGACTTGATGCCCATCTGAGGAATATGCATCTCCACATACAGATCGATCATCCTTCTCCAAACAAACCCAATGCATTGCTCCTTCGAACCCATATGAGATGTACAAGCCTCTCCTTTGTCTTCTCCCCCATCCGTACCGACATCCAGGCATTCAAGCAGGTTTGCCTGAGAAAAATTATCACTCGCCGCTACCGTGCCATTAAGCACAGCGCAAACTCACAATGCAGTCTATGTACAAGAGTTCATGAGCGATGGTCATCTGATGAGCGAACAAACTGTTGGCAAGGAGGCAAGCTGCCGTTCTCATGCCCTCTTGCCCGACATGCGTCGCTAATCCATTGCCTCTGAACGAATCCAGCTAAGTCAGGAGCACGACGCGCATGATTCATCTTCACTTACCCGTCGAAGAGTCTGCTGATCAGTTTCAGCCTTGAGGCGGGGAGAGGTCGCTCGAGAAAGCTTGGATGGCTCCCCTCCATCAGAAGCTCCTGGATGGTTCTGTTCGCATATTGAACCATGGTGGAATTGCTGGATAGAGCACTGGAGGGATTCGTCACATAGTGAAGATGCAAGACAACATCATGCCTGAGTGGCAGATACTTCTCCTGCTCCTTCGCAACACACTTGCGCTCTCCTCCATCGCATCTTCCTCCCCGCAATTCAAGGCGCCTCATCGAATGAATCCAGCTTGGCCGTGCAGGCCCGGCACCACTCAGAGATCCAGCATGCCTGTAGCATCGTCTTGTAGGAGAGAGGCTGTCAGTGTGACTTTCTGTCGGCCTCTCTCCCGCCATCATCATCAAGATCCCCACCGCCCACATCGCACCCTTCTGCATTGCGACCACTCCCACGATGGATCGCTAGGGGGTGCCAGCCGGGTTCGCCTCAGCCGACCTACGTACTTTGAGTAAAAAAGGTACATTGCCGCCACCTCAGAATTCAGTGATCACTCGACCGGGTGACGTAGCGGGCCGGCCGGGAGGCCCGGCCCGGGCCTGAGGCCTGCCACGTGTAAGGCGCCACCTAAATAACTTTTTTCTTTACTCAAAGTTAAGTGTTTTAAATTAGTACGGGCAAGGCCCCCGCTAGCCGCCGTGGTAGTACCCGGGTTGTACCGAGAATGGATCGGAGGTACGGGAATGGTACTAGAGGAGCTGTCATAAGAGTGATCACTAAAAGTGAACTAAAATATTTCTAAGAGACTAGTACACTTTTGTTTACTTAACACGAACGTATATTTACGACAGTGACAGTCAAAACTCCTGCAGGGGCGGCGAGCAGGTCGATTGCGAGAAGTCGAGAGGGTTTGAAGGAGAAAGAGGTTGGGAGGATGGGGGCCGGGGCGGGAATGATGGGAAGGTCAACAAGGCAGAAAGCTTGGAGGATGAACGGAGAAGCAAACTGTAAAGAATCTCTCTTGCTCTTGTATTCTTACATGACTTGATAAATCTCTCCTGCAATCTTACGGGACATTGTTCATCCAGTTAGTTTGCATGGGAGCCGACGTCTCGACATTTACAAACGACTTCTGTGAATCCACTTGCCAATGTCCTGCTGCATGGCAGTCCGGCTTCCATCGGCAAGCTGGCATCCAGAAGTCAAGCGAGGATTCAGCAAGAAAGGCACGCAAGGTGAGGGTTCGAATCTTGACACACAAGGTCACATTTGCTTGCAGGAGTACTTGAATAAGATCGTCCGAGAGAACAAGTATGAACCTGTTCCCTATACCACCAAAAACATGCGATACCGTGAAGACCTCTTGACCGAGGATGACCCGATGCATGACATCATCAGCAAGCATCATCGTAGTCACTCACATGGAAGATCTGTTCACTCTGGCAACCTCTCGATGGATCATAGACATAGTTCCAGCCTCCCCCCCCATCATCACAGGATCATCGGGCGGCAGAAAACGACAAGCCCCCAGCCAATGCTCCATCCAATGACGTCTATGCCGAGACCCTCGACGCTGTCCGAGCTTACAGGAGCGAGGTCAACGTGAATAACGTTGAGCAGCGGAGCAAGGAGCTTAAGGAGCTGAAGCGGAGGTGAGGGAGGGAGGGAGGGAGGGAGGGAGGGAGGGAGGCTGATGCACATTTCCGCAGGTTGCTGGAAGAACACGACAGGAGACTAGAAGCGAAGCGCGCGTGATAGCATCGAGAACCAAAGGCTTCAGCTGTGAATCTAGATGCAGCTAGAGTTGGAGTGTCAATCTATCGAGCAAAAGGAATGAAGATGTTGCTATCAAACCTCGTGCTTATGTGAAACAAATTCTATCAGAATCGTCCAGCCGACAAACATTTTGATCCCTTCACAACGAAGTCTCTCGTTGTAAAGTATTTGTGTACCCCGAGAGGAACTGAATAGGTAGTGATACAGAGAGAAAGATCTAAAGCAGGAAAATAGAATCTCCTGTTAACAACCAAGAAGCCCGAACATCTCACAGTAGCCTGGAAGAAGAGCTATCCCCCTTCGACCCGGTAAGGTCGTAGCTGTTCTGCTGCAACTTGTAGACCCATCTTAGCCTTGCGCTGAAAGCTGCCAACAGAAGTTCAAACGAATACCCCCCGGGACCCGGGGAAGAAGGGGCGTACCTGCAACTTTGTAGTCGAACTCTACCTCAGGAGCACTACACCAGCATATCGCCTCCAGCGCCTTGACGTACTCCTCCATCTTCATTCCGGATCAGAGGAGGAACAAGGGCAAGTGGTTGAACCTTGTGGTCATCTATCATCCTGGTTATCCTGTAATGGATCTGATCTTCGGGAAAGCACTTGACATCCCTGCGGAGAGGATGATGAGGGGAGGAGGGATGACGAGAAAGCACGGAGGATACGTGGGAAGTTGAGAAAGGTACTTTGCTTCACAAGAGATCTTGGCAAACGCCATCTCCCGAGCAGATCCATGGTTGTTCTGAACGAAAATCACCTGCCCTATGGTGCGATACTTTTCTGAATGCTTCATGAACTCCTCCAGCATCTTGCAGAAAGACTGCTTCAGGTGCCCTCCGACGCCAAGGATGCCCCCTCCTGTCCAGAACGCCGGGTACTCTGCCTTGATGTGGTTCTCCACCAGCTCGGCGAACCTCGGGGCATCTCTGAAGAGCAGCATGCGGGTGATGATGTCAAATCCGTGCACGTAGAGCCTCGTCGACTTGGCGATTTCCTGTAACGTGCTGGAAGCCGCGGGATCACTTGCGACGACTGTCAGAGTCTGTCAGAAATCGCAGGAAAGCAGCAGTGTAGCAGCAGCAGTAGGAGCCAGGGCAAAGAGAAGAAGGAGGAGCACTAGGAGAAGGACGAGGACAAAAAGATGTAGAGGCGAAGGAGGAGGAGGAGGAGGAGGAGGAGGAGGAGGAGGAGGAGGAGGAGGAGGAGGAGGAGGAGGAGGAGGAGGAGGAAAGCACGTGCAAGGACGGGGCATCAGGGGAGTAGAACGGGCAATAGCCACCTAAAGGAGCTCCAAAGCACACGACGTCTGCTTCTTTGATGCCTGCTGCATGATGCATCGAGCGGCAGATCAGCGCTAGCCCCCCTCCCAGCGAGTGACCCGTATACACAATCTTAGCGCTTCCGGGGTCCTTCAGCGTTTGCTTGCCGACGTTGATGTACTCCAGTATCCGCCCATCGTACGACATGCCATGATCGTCGGCCTCCCCCAGACGCCCGTGAATGCCGTTGTGCACGTTGAACTTCTGCCCATCTGGACCGATGCCGTAGAGGTTCGAACCAAGGTTCACGATCCTAGGAAACGAGCACACGTCAGGCAAGGAGAGCAGGCGCGTCCAGCCCACCAGTCCATGAAGGTGGCGGACCCTCGGAAGACGACGATGATCAAGTTCAACCCGATCTTGTCTGCCAACACAGCAAAACCAGGCCCTGTCTCCTCCGTCCCTTCCCCTTTAGCGAGTCCGTTGGCGCCGACCAGGTGGAACTGATCCTCCACCACGCTCTTGAAGCTGAGCCTGTCCACGTCGCCATGGTAGATCAGGTCCGACAGGAAAGCGCACAAGGAGTCGAGGTGCAGCGACTTGCAGCTCTGAAGAGACTCGAGGCTCTTGCTGAGGCAGTTCTTGCAGCATCCTCCGTAGATGGTCAGGTCGTGGCCCCTCATACAGGCGCAGTGGCAGCAGAGGCAGTCGTAGAACTTGGCGTATCGATTTCCCCTCTTGTTGTACCCGTCCACCCGGTTGCACTCTCCCTTCCGTGCTGAATCGCTGGAGCTCCTTGCCGCTCCGCATTCGTCGCAGGTGAACTGAGGCATGAGGGATCGCTCGAGCCCAGCAGCCGATGCTCAACCTGCGAGGGAGGAACGCGTCAAGGCCTTGGACATAAAAGGCAGAGACTGAGGAGGAGGACGTCCACGGAGAAATCTAGAGCGACAACGGAAGGAGAGGGGAGGGGGGGGGGGAGGGGGGGATGTCAACAACATATCATGATGAACAGGAGGAGGGAGGGGCAAGGATCGCATAGGGAGGAACACTGTCACAGATGAGGTTTCTAGTCGAGACAAGACTTCTTCATCATCCACACAAGACAGGGGAGCAACCAGGACAAGTGAAGTAGCTTGCAGAACAAGACATCTCGATCATCAGCAACCTTGTGTTCGTGCTGTTAAAGTGCCTACTACACCATCGAGCCCTCCCCTAACGTCTCCTCGTCATTCCTCGCTCACCTGTGTTGCTGCCCTGTCCAATCTGATCGGGTTTCTCGAGTATTGAAATCAATATTGAATTACTGTCTTTAGTCTATCTATCTATTTGAAGTGAGGCTGGCCGAGAATCTGTACTTTGAATATGTCACAAAGTTTACTCAAATGTGTTTTTGCGCCCTTGGAGTGCGTTGAGATTCGGGTCTCCTCCTGCTGCTCCTGCTCCTGCTCCTGCTCCTCCTGCTCCTCCTGCTCCTCCTACTCCTGCTCCTGCTCCTGATCCTGCTCCTGCTCCTCCTACTCTTCCTGCTCCTCCTGCTCCTGCTCCTCCTGCTCCTCCTGCTCCTCCTGCTCCTGCTCCTGCTCCTGCTCCTCCTGCTCCTGCTCCTGCTCCTGCTCCTGCTCCTGCTCCTGCTCCTCCTGCTCCTGCTCCTGCTCCTGCTCCTGCTCCTGCTCCTGCTCCTGCTCCTGCTCCTGCTCCTGCTCCTGCTCCTGCTCCTGCTCCTGCTCCTGCTCCTGCTCCTGCTCCTGCTCCTGCTCCTCCTACTCTTCCTGCTCCTCCTGCTCCTCCTACTCTTCCTGCTCCTCCTCCCTCCCTCCCCTGTCTGCCTGGTCCCGATACTCTCTGTCACTTTCTGATCGATCCACGTCCTGAAGGTTGTAATGCCTTGAACGTCAGGAGGGAGAGGAGGGAGAGGAGGGAGAGGAGGGAGAGGAGGGAGAGGAGGGAGAGATGACGGGAAGTTGCATCAGAATCTTCTCAGCTCGGAAAGTCTCGCCTGAGACAAGCAAGGGTGTTCCTCTTGCCAACATCAGGGTACCTCGCTTGCAAAGAGGGCTCGACGCGAAGCCATGGAGTCTGCCTCCTGGGCTGAAGCAGAAGCTGAAGGCCGTGTATGAAAGGTATAAAAAGTCAGGCGCACAAGGAGGAGGAGACATTGAAGAGAGCGAAGTTTGGATGAGTTTGAGCATGAGCCCCAAACAGATCCAGCAGCATGCCGAGAGCTCACGATCGTTCAGCGTGTTCGAGAAGACGATCGCGAGAGAGTGGGAGCTGACCTGCAAGACTGAGCGCCTCTCTCAGCTCGGTATCTTGCGCTCCATCGCCGAGGTCATCCCAGGAGGAGACGCCAGTGACCCCCTAGCAGATATCCTTGAGCTCGCGCCGGAGGCGCTGCGTGAGTACTGCGCGTCGTCGATCAGCAATGCTGTGGAACGAAAGCTGCTCGGGGAGCGATCAGATACAACAGGAGGTGACCAGGAGAAGGAGGAGGAGGAGGAGGAGGTCATGTCGGCGGGCAATGGAAAGTTCCTTCTCTCTGATGCCCGCACTGCGACGTTTGGGGGGCTGGAGAAGTTTCATGGGGGGCTGGTGGAGCTGATAGGGCTGCCTAGCGTCGACCTCCTGCATGGGATGGCGAGTGAACACTCTGAGAGAGGAGACTCTGAGGAAGAGTTCAGCCCCGGCAACTACGCCATCATCACAACACCCAGGCAAGAGTGGGAGGCAGTCACTGACCCTGAGCAGCGGAGGCTCCGCTCGGTGGCTCCGAGGAGGATCCGGTCGATCGAGGAGATCATGAAGGAGGAGAACGTCGAGAAGGCAGGTTTGCGGAGGGAGGAGGCACTTGCCTTGCAGCTGTATACAGGTTCGTAGGCGTGCATTGCGGGATCGCTCGAGTGATGTTGATGACGTGGACAGGTCCTATGTACTGGAAGTACAACACGGTGCTCCGGAACCCCCCGGACATGCTGCAGGATCCTCCACCGGACGCGTTTGTGCGGCTGCGAGGCAACAAGTACACGACGACCATCTACTGCATCGTCAGTGGGATCATCAAATTGTCCAAGGTCACTCCTCTCCCTCCCGCCCGCGTCGTCTACCGGGGGCTCCACGGGCTCGAGATGCCGTCCAAGTTTGTGTCACAAGATGATTACGGGGTGTCAGGTGGGGTGGAGCTGGGGATGTTGAGCACGAGCCAGGACATGAAGGTTGCCGTTCAGTACGCTGGGAAGGGGTTGCTTCCTACCGTCTTCGAGATCAGCTGTGGGGCGGTTGACCGCGGTGCTTCGTTGACGTTTTTGTCGCAATACCCAGGAGAGGAGGAGATGCTGTACCCTCCACTCTCTTACCTGGAGCTGATCAGAGAGCCGCAGATCAGGACGCTCGAGGGGAAGTCCGTGAGGATCTTGCCGCTGAAGATCAACTCGAACATGACGTGCTCGACTATCGAAGATATCCTGGCGAAGAGGAAGCAGCTGTTCATTGCTCTCTTGGAGAATATCATGGAAGAGATTGAGCGAGATCTGACCAAGATCATGGAGTCGCCTGCGCTGCAGGAGCGTTTGGCAAGAGCTGCCTTCGACAAGACATGGGATGGGCACACCAAACTTCGCCGCTCCATCTCGAAGCAGTGCAGAGCCATGCACGACATGTATAAGCAGAAGGACGTTTCGTGGTACAATGATGACAACAACTACAACTATGCGCTGGATCAGGCGACCATGCTCAAGAAGATGGCGATGAACAAATTCCAATTCTGGTTGAACGACACAGACGGGGACAATCAAAGTCTCCCAATCTCCAAGGAGAGTCTGCGGGATGTCTATCACAGTAAGATGGCTCACCTGTATAGGAGAGTATGGAGCAGCGAGGAGAATGAGTTGACTCGTAAGCAAGCAGCAGTTGACGCATGCAAGATGCATGGAGTGTGGGCGGAAGGCGAGATAGAGGAAGAAGCTCCTCCCATGATCCGAGCCGTGCTCAAGGGGCAGCTCGAGATGCTCCCGCTGCTTACCGCTGCGGGCAGCAACGTGAACGCTACCTCTCAGAACGGCACGTCTGCCCTTCACGCGGCTGTGATGATGGGGTTCACTCGATGTATCCTCCTCCTGCTGGAGATGGGAGCCGACCTCGAGTCCAGGACGGAGGAAGGGATGACGGTGCTGCACGTCGGAGCGAAGCATGGGCACGTAGAGGCGTTGAAGGCTCTCATGCAGGCTGGTGGACAACACCTCGTCTCACAGGTGGCAGCGGACGGCAAGACCTGCCTGCACTACGCCTGTGAGCACGGGCATGTGGACGCCGTGAAGGCGATCACAGCGGTGGGGGAGGAGGGGCTGGTGATGGCTCCGGACAAGTACAAGAGGACATGCGCCCACTGGGCCTGCATGAACGGGCAGGAGCGAGCTCTCCGAGCTGTGCTGGAGGTGGGCGGAGCAATGCTGGCCATGGCTCCAGCAAATGATGGGAGGAACTGCGCGCACTACGCGCTGCAGTATGGGCAGATCGAGTGCCTCGAGGCAGCGCTGGTCGTGGGAGGAAAGGAGCTCGCGCTCGCGTCGGACAAGTCGGGCAGGAGCTGTGGGCACTACGCATGTGGAAACGGAGATCTGCGAGGGCTGGAGGTGCTGCTGAGGGTAGGAGGGAGGGAAACGGCCATGGCGGTGGACAACGATGGCAGGACATGCGCGCACTACGCCTGTGATCATGGGCTGGTGGAGGGGCTCAGGGTGCTGCTGGAGCTGGGGGGGAAGGAGCTTGCGATGGCGATGGACAAGTATGGGAGAACTTGCGCGCAGATCCTGTACAAGAAGGAGCTCACGCAGGGACTAAACCTGCTGTTGAATGTCTGCGGGTGTGAACTGAGTTCTCTAGTCGATTCAAGTCTCCTCGCATCCAAACCTGGGGTGGAACCAAGTCCAGAGCTTCCAACCAAAGAATGAGCGACTTCTTCCCTGTCTCCGAAGTTTGGAGTTTGCTTATGAAGACAAGTGCCGCATGCGCTGCTTTCGACCAGAGTGTTCTTCTGGAGCTGGGCAAGGCTTTTGATTGGCCCTTGGCGGACGGAGGCTTGGACGCTGACTTCAACCGTTGAACCTGGCCAGCTCTTCTTCCCTGTCTCCGAAGTTTGGAGTTTGCTTTCTTCAAGCGTCAACTTCCATACCAGGAGGCCCGGGGGGAGACGGCTTCACCCCTCAAGCAGGTGTCAGTCTATCAGCTTATTACATCGCCACGGCCAGTTTCTTACAATGGAGCGCTACTTTACCGTGTGTGCAGTGTTGGACATTTTCGACCCCTCCACTGTTCTCCCAGTTGGATGGTACCCTCCGTCGAGCAGACGAGCCGGATATTGCACTCCCTCCCCTACTCGCTTCCTTCCTGCGGGTGCATCAGGCTCTGCTTGATCGTGGAGTGCCGCGATACCTGGACCCCAGTGATCTGGAGGACGCACGCTTGCACAATTCGATCCCCTCTCCAGCGCTCTTTCAACTCGCGGGCGGACCTCCATTTCTCTCCTCCCCGCGCTCAGTCACTGGACGGTTGATGGCAGACTATTCCCCCTCATCTGGAGCGGCAGGCGCGATTATCTCAGGTTCAGGCAGCTCTCCTCCGGGCTCATGGCAGCTACACTGTGGAGCTCTATCCCCCCGGCGAGTCAGCGAGTCAGTCTTCGACCCCTTTCCCCCTTCGGAAGACCCAAAACCCACAGCGGCGCTTGCAATACTCTCTGATGGAGGCCACCAACGTTCACCCCTCTAACCAGTGTCCCATCCACCTCGCACGAGGGGTCGATCGCTTCCTGCATGGGCTACCCCCGGCTGGACTGCCTCCCACTTGTGATCGATGGGCTACAGCTCTGGATCCCTCGGCAGGAAGCAGTGTCTCTCATTTGGCCAACTGTCGTCATTGCGCAGCTCTCTGGGGCCCCACCAACCGACACATGGGCGCCTCTGGCTCCCTGGCCTGAAGTCCAGAACCAGCCCATTCCAGGTGGTACCCGGGCCTGGCGGACCACCATGGAGCTACGCTGACGGCAGAGTGGGATGGACGCGCTCAGGAGGCGGTGTATGGGGACCCTGGCTTTCATCGTTTGCGTGCTCGCCTGTTTCGGCAGTATCGCTCTCGCATGGGTCTCGCCGTCCTCCTCGCAGGAGCCTTGCTCTACTGCTGTTTGTCCTGATCTTGTTCCCCTGCTTATCGTGCATCCTGTCGCTTGCGTGGCCCAGTTGGAGTAGCGGTTTTTGCTGCCTCTTCCATTTGCTAGTGTTTTATTGAGGCGGGTTTGTTGGATTTATCCTCGTTCTCCTCTGTTAGGCTCCGGTTTGCCTTTTTTTTTTCAGTCAATAAACAAAAATTTCAAGGGCTGGTATGCATGATCACGTTGATGCGAGGTCGGAGGGATTCAGCATGAGGAGACTGTTGTGTGTCTGTGTGCTTTGGGTTGCAATCTTGGATAGCATGTACCAACAGGCCGAGGCGGCAAGCAGCGTGAGCTGTGGAGGCTGTGTGTTGTATGTCTCGGATGAGGGTTTGTTGTCGAGGGAGGGGAGCTGTGGCAGCGACTGTGGAACTGATATTAGCGGTAAGAAAATGTTGATTCTGAGTTCCCTGGGTATTCGAAATATCGCAAATGGGACCTTCGACGGGCTTTCAAGCTTGCAGGGACTATTTCTTTACTACAACAACCTGCAGACTCTGCCTGCAGGGATCTTCGACGGGCTCTCTCGCTTGCAGTGGCTATATCTGTACAACAACAACCTGCAGACTCTGCCTACAGGGACCTTCGACGGGCTGTCGAGCTTGCAGTATCTACACATCCACCACAACAGCCTGGAAAGTCTGCCTGCAGGGATCTTCGACGGGCTCTCGAGTTTGCAGGATCTATATATGTACAACAACAACCTGCAGACTCTGCCTACAGGGACCTTCGACGGGCTGTCGAGCTTGCAGGATCTACATCTTAACAACAATAACCTGCAGACTCTGCCTGCAGGGATCTTCGACGGGCTCTCTAGCTTGCAATTGCTATATCTGTACAACAACAACCTGGAAAGTCTGCCTACAGGGATCTTCGACGGGCTATCGAGCTTGCAGACGCTGAATCTCCACTACAACAACCTGCAGACTCTGCCTGCAGGGATCTTCGACGGGCTCTCGAGCTTGCAGACGCTACGTCTCCACAACAACAACCTGGAAAGTCTGCCTACAGGGACCTTCGACGGGCTGTCGCGCTTGAAGTATCTATATCTTAACAACAACAACCTGGAAAGTCTGCCTGCAGGGATCTTCGACGGGCTATCGAGCTTGCAGTGGCTATATCTTTACAACAACAACCTGGAAAGTCTGCCTACAGGGATCTTCGACGGGCTATCGAGCTTGCAATTGCTATATCTTCAAAACAACAACATTGCCTGCATTTCCTCTCAGGCCTTTACTGGTTTGTCATGGCTTTCCTCTTTAGACCTAACAGGCAACATTCTACCGTGCTATCATCCGTCTTGGCCAAGCTTTGCCAGCAAGGATGCGGGCCTAAATCCTTGCCTCAACGAGACTTATTGCAACAACAGGCGACAAAGTACCTCCATCGCAAGCTCCTTCAGCCCAACCACAACGCCACCAGCATCCTCTCCCACAGCTTCTGACACCACTGCATCACTGTCACAAGAGACCACTGTTGGTCCCTTTATCCCAACAACAACACCAACTGGTGTAGATCCAGACGAACCATTGCCGATGGAAGAGGAAAAGAGCGGAGTGCTCAAACCCATTGTCTGGTATAAATTTGATGACCCCAATGACTTGGGAAAAGACAGCAGCGGCAACAGTTACAGTGCAACAAACTATGGAGCTACATATGATTCTGGCAAGAACTGTAAACAGGGAGATGGCTGTGTGCACTTCAGCGCAAGCGGGACCCAGCAGTACATGACAGTGGATAATCGTTTGGATCTTGGTACAATCCAGCAGCAGAGCGGCATCACCGTTAGCTTCTGGGGCTACATGACGGAATTGAGTGGATATTGGGCTCGTTACTTTGACTTTGGTGGGAGGAATAGCACCTACTTCTACCACGGTGGAGGCGCGAACCTATACAACTGGTTGTTCGCCGCCCCAAGTACTTCAACATACCCGACATGGCTTCAGCTTGATATCTACGGCGGCAAAGGATATTTTTCGGTGCCTTTTTCTAAGCACGTGATCTCGAGTTGGCATCACTTTGTTTTCTCCATCAGCAAGAATGGAAGCGCGTCGGCAAACACATGGTCGGTATGGATCGATAACGAGCTGGTATGCGATGCGTGTCATGCTAGTGGACTGACTTCCATTCCAATGGATGAAAGGGGATGGTATATTGCGCGTTCTCATTGGGAAGTAGACGGAAAGACTGATGGTGGCATGGACGACTTCCGTATTTACGATCAAGCCCTCACTGCCTTGCAAGTCGCAGAACTTACAGAAATATACTATGATTCTGTGGAATACAATCCTGTTTCAACCCCGTCCAAGGCATACTGGTTTCTCCGCCCAGTCTACGTCAATTGCCAAATGAATCACACTTGGGATGATGTCATCCACGGACAATTAGCGAAGAACCAGACCTTCAAGTCGGGTGGACTCGGGAAGCTGATGACTCGAGGCGAGTTCGAGGTGTGGGTGTGCAGCTATCAAGACGAATGTGCTAAGCCCCGCAATCCCTTCTGTTACGTTTTCAACGAGCAGCAAAAGCTCTTCATACCATGGTGAGTTGTCATTCTCTTCATCGAAAAACTTGAACGACTGGGTTAGTCAGTTCTAAGGCATTTCTACAGGGGTCTGGAGGATGAGCTCATGCTCAGTTAGAGCTAGTACCTCCGAATGCGTTGACTTCGAAAGCAAAACATACAAAACTTGCCAAATTGTAAAACCGGGCTGTCGACGTTTGTCGGGCCTGACTATCTAGGCTATGACCGCCGCCGGTGTTAAGATCAAGCATGAACTACGCCTCTACTAGGCTGCTGAGTCTAGGCTGGCATACATCCCCTCTAAAGTTTCAGTTTGTCTCACAGACCTTTAGTTATCTCGTAATTGCTAAATCCCGAGGCACATGCCCCTCAGCCTCGATTGGTAGAGGTCTATCTTTCTTGTCCACCTGCGTGTTAGTCGCTTGTCGAGGCAGCAAGGTTCACTTAGAAGTTCTTTAAGTAGCACGGTCCCTAGGTGAAAATGTAGAACCGGGTACCTTTTGGCTTCTTTTCAATACCTCGTCTTGCACAATACCCTCCTAGGCTACTGCTCATCGTTTGTAGTATTCAGGGCAATATACGATTTTCGAGCATTGTAATGGTGTGTGAGATTATGACACGAAATTTGAAGCAAATGAGGCATGATGATGATGTTCCGATGAAGGTGAAAGCTCAGAATGAGATGTGCAATGAGATTACGCCATTTCTGAAGCATTCTATGTGTTTGCTTTTGGATGTTCATTGGTATGAGGTTATCCGAGGAGTTGAAGGTTTGCGAAGCATGGTTGAAGGATCCTATTGCTCCCTGCTCATTTCCCGCCTACTGATCCGTCTAAAGGGATTCCTAACTTTGGGAAGTAATTCTGAAGGAGCAGACTGATTTATTTTTGAATTCTGTAGCATTGAGCAGGTTTACAAGTTTGGGAGATCTTTCGGGTGATTTTCTTTCGCTGCCATCGCTACTTCATGGGTATTTATTTTCTCTTCACGAATCTTCAATCCCAACCCGAAGCTTACCAGAAGGCTTGCTCTTTCCTTCATAAGGAAATAATACAGGAACAGTTCTAGGTCAGCAGATGCCGATGACTTCCAAGATCCTTCAGTCAGGCATCTTGTTGTGTGCGATAGCTGACTTTTTATCTGCGAACATGGAGTTGTATCGATTTGGTCAAGGAGACATTGATGAGTTCCGAAAGACTATAGAAACTTCGTTGAGGAACGTTTGTTTTTGCAAGGAGGAAATGTAGAGCTTTGAGCCCTCGTCCAACTTTGAAGATGAGCTCGCCATGTTGAGGATGGATCCAACAAAGACACTATGGGGAGGGATGAGTGGGGAGGTTGGAGTTCCTTTCATTTGAGGGCCTCTGCTATTTCAAGTTTTTGAAGTTTGTTATGCGCGTGACGCTGAGAGTAGCTGCGGTGCTTGTGTTTCTGATCATGTCGGACGCATGGGAGCAAGGTGATCAAGTACATTGCTCTTGTTCTCCTATAGAATTGTGCCACCTGTAGTCTCCGGTTGGATCGCAAGTTGAACTCTTTTCTATGGCTAAGTAACTTTGTTCTCCCTTGTCCATTTGTGTACTCGAGCGTCGATAATCTACTTCTTGACCTTTCATCGAAATGATTATGCCATATGGCATAGGATCTGAAAGCCTCACCTGCTTGTCAGGTGAGGGATTGAGCTGCTATCATCTAGCAAAGACGGTTTCAATCCAAGATATATAAATTTGGAAGCGCTGGCTGTGCCCCCGTCATGGCCAACACTAGAGTCATATCCTAATGGACTGATAGAACATGATTGTAGCTTGCTAAAGGAGGAACAAGATTGGGGAACAGGAGGATATTGCCTGAAGATTGTGATGCACAATTCATCAATTAAGGAGGATATCGCTACGGGCTCGTGTTACCGATCTTTGCTGGTTGAGACATACAATGCGACTCCAATGGCAAAAGTGGCCAAGCATATTCGATCTTCACGAACCAGACTTACACATATAGGGAAAACTGAGATGTTACCGTTTTCTGACTCACTTTTGCTCGGAAGGTGCAATCAATCGCCAAGAGCTAGAATGATCGCTCACACGACTCTTGTAATATCTTTGCTGTCTTGTGACTTGTTTGCAGCTAGGATGACTTTCATACATGTATGTATGTAATGTGTTAGAGAGGAAAACGGTGTGTCATGCTATCATGCCTCCATTGCCGCCCCATGCGACGCCATGAGACTTGTGAAACCTGAATCGGGGGTGAGAAGCCCTGAAACATCTTGAATAGTTTGCCGGCTTCCCCTGTGAAGGTTTTGACGGGCATCATGTATGGCCTTGCAAGAGAAGGTCTAAGTTCATAGAGAATCGCTGCTAGGTCATCCCGCATGTCGCTTGCACTCGTGTACCTGAAGCTCTGTGAGAAGCGAGCAAACGTGAGGATCTGATACAACCAGTTTTCTACTTGCTTATGCAGCGCTTTGTTCGCAACCTGAGCTATCCTCAGCATGTGTGAACGATTCCCTCGTGGAACCTGAGCGAAAGACGGCGACATGCTAACACGTGTTGATGTGTTCTTCAGATCTTCACGTGTTGATGTGTTCTTCAGATCTTCACGTGTTGATGTGTTCTTCAGATCTTCACGTGTTGATGTGTTCTTCAGATCTTCACGTGTTGATGTGTTCTTCAGATCTTCACGTGTTGATGTGTTCTTCAGATCTTCACGTGTTGATGTGTTCTTCAGATCTTCACGTGTTGATGTGTTCTTCAGATCTTCACGTGTTGATGTGTTCTTCAGATCTTCACGTGTTGATGTGTTCTTCAGATGCTCTTCAATTCGGGGGCTTTCAAGTCCAAGTCCCCGACCATCGTCTTCCCCCATGAGCCTTTTGACACCTGTGGTTGTCTCCTCCTCTCTCCTCGTCCTCTCTCCTCGTCCTTGTGGCGCAGTGCACCTTCCAATCATTCAAACTTGAACAAGTTTGGAGTGCGTTACTTTTGATCATCGTTTCCCTCTTCTGCCAATGATGTTTCCTCCCTTTCTTCTTGTCTCTTGTATGGAATCTAACGTGATTTCGTCTGCAGAGATGATCGGTGGTGTTCTGGAGCCTATATCCCAACCGAGGAGTTATATCAACCATGCTGCTTACGAGGTAGAGCTACAACATTTCGAGATCATATCAAGATATGTATGTCTTTGATTTTTATGAAAATTTCAGAGCATCAACGATCAATTCGGAACTGGTGGCAATGATGACATCTTTGGAGAGTGGTACGAATACCTGAATGCATTCTTCGAATCTTTTGTTATATTCTTCACTTTCTAATAGCTATCCAACAAGGGTCTGGATAAAGACCACATCGTGACGCTCGGACAGGCTATTGGAATGGCTGTTATCGGTGCAATGCAAGCTTTGTAAGATGGAGTGCAAACCTGATTTTTTATCGTTTTCACAGGCTTTAGCGTCTTTGGCATTTTCTGGCGGTACTTGGAAGCCAAGAACATTCAACCAGTTGCTCTGAGAAATCAATGTTTGCTGTGCCATCGGTTTGACGAACCTTGTTATTTGTGCAGGCTCCAAGAGAGGGCGTTTGGAGCATGGAGTGAAATGAGCTTGTACTTTCGCGCTTTCGAATGTCTGATTGCATTCTTTCTTGAAAATAGGCGATAGTGTAGAGAAATAAATTGCGACTTTAGTGTGAGCTTCAAGATGCACTTCATTGCAGTGTTGGCTGCTGGTTGTACTCAACCATTTATCACTCCATACACATCAATATCCCTTAACCGGGAAGTGATATCCTCTACTTCTTGCTTCTTCCTCTCCCGGTGCCCATCTCTCGTCTTCTCCTTTCCCTCCCTCCTTGTTCTTGGTCATGCCAGGTCCCTTTTGGAGAAAATGGAAGGGTTGGTGAGGGGAGAGAAAAAGGAAGGATCAATGAAATTCCGCAGGGAGATCTGACATCGATCAGGACATCGATGGTTTCCGCAGACCTTATGGCGTGTTTTCTCTGACGACTTGTAGACCCAGAGATGAGCAAAACAGCCATCAACGTCCTCTCGGCTGCATTCGTTCTTCTGCTCTTAGCGGACCTGACAAGGGCTCGTTGTGCACTCGCTTGCGTTCTGCTCCCACCCTGTGTATCATGCTGGGCTTTACGAGCGGTCACAACAAGCTGACGCTAACACGCATCTCCCACCCACCAAAAGCAACTAGATTGCGAATGTGGCAAGTTTGGTGAGACCCTGAGACCGTCTACGCCGACTAGCACGCGAATCTCACCACTAGCAAAGACATTTCCTTTAGAAACTTGTAGTGAAGGTATTACTCATATTGTATAATAGAAACCACCCGCCTCAGGGATTGCGTATAGAATTTCACACGGGCAGCAAACCTCGGAACGCGCGGCCTATTGTAATCGTGAACGGACTTTGTAGGGTAGTCATAGGGAGCTCGGGCCGGGTTGTAGGAAACCGGGCTCCGATATCGGATGGAGTACCCCCACCCCTGTAGACTTCAAGGGTCTAAAACACCCTGGGTAGTCATCGGCTTTCACAATGCAGCCAACAGCAGCATACTAAGGGCGTCGCAACGTTGAGCGGGAGATCGAGGTAGAGGAGGGGAGATCAGTGAAGGAGAGAGAAGATGTGCAAGGGCATACATGCGTCAGATGCCTTGTGGGAAGTGAAGCACGACTGCACGACTGTACGGCACTTCTGATTGAAACAGCATGCGGTTTTGGAACTTCAACTATCAGATTAGACCTGGCCATTCTTTGAGCATGCCTACCTTCTGCATTCGGTTTGTATATGCTCGCGAATATCGTTGTAGGTAGGACTGATACACGCATCCAGTTGCTGCCCGGGAAGTAGATTTGAGGAGGATTTGATGCAAGATGAATGTCACACAGAAAGTGAGATGGTTTGTCAGGATGGTGAAGATCTTGTTGTTCAATTGCCGAAGATCCATCTTGACATCTAACATGATCAGATGATGACCGGAGAACCAAAGAATCAAACAGATGGTGGAATGACAGCTCGCAAAATAGACGAGGCTCGGACAACTCATCGAGTCAGGACGGTTCTCCTTTCAGCCCTGGGAGTTGTACACGGAACATCTGCTTCTGCAAGCTATCTGCATGCTTCCCTTACTCGAAGACAAAGAAGGATCCCTTCCGAGTCGAGGCTGACTTCGTGTTGGTGGATGCTAATGTAAGTGGACCGGAGGATGGGAGTTTGCGAGGTGAGCTGACATGTGCCCAAGAAATCCAAGGTTGAAGAGAATGACGAGATACGATACTGTAAGGCAACAGAGCTCCCTGATCTTAGCCCTATCAATGAGGTAGCGACTAGACTTCATGTTTGCACCTGCCTGACCTTTCAGTAGAAGCGGTCCCATGCTATTTGTACCCCAAGTGAGCACCGCCGGAGTGAGACCATTGGGACGAGATCTGATGTCTGCAACGAAATAGCGCGAGTAGACCAGGAACAAGAAACAAGGAAGGTGAATCGCAATACCGTTAGAACCAAAATGATCCTCACTGACATCATCATGTTAGATGGGCACAAGTTCTGGCTATGCAAATGTAGATGATACCATGTATACAAGAGATCAGATCATAAGAAACTTTTGTGAGTTTGTTGGAGGGTGCTCTAGAATTGATGCAGACACGCTGATGTGATTCAACAGCTTTCTTCGTTGACTTGAATGCGCCTCATGTAAATCCCTTTGCCTTTCCATTTGATCTGATAAATCGACGCAGTGGGAACTCCCTCCAACAGCAGCTGTCAACGCGAATAAGGTGACTATACTTGGATTCCATGGTCGAGCTAAGATCGACTTCTCCGCTGTAGCATCGCACGTACACATCTGCCGACGATTATGAAGACAAGTGCGTTTTTGATTTCAGCATGTGTGAGTCGACCTGACATGCGCGAACTATCTAGGCACACCTCACTTACCAGAAAAGGTAGCAATTGATACGATACCTGCTTGCGATGACACTTGTTGAGTAGAGAGCATGTACAAGGAGCACTTTGAGCTGTCGTATAATCGGTGGGCCTGTTCAAGACGAGTGGAGGAGTCTTCCGATTATTCCCACAAGAAAATCTCTCTTGAGGCATATGCAATGTTTACGAGCAGTTCATCTGAAAGCAACGAGTACACCATGTATCTTTCCTTGCACACACGTTGTTCATCAGTCTTTTAACCCTGTGGTGCAGACTGAGAGATTCCCACGAGTTCTCACGAAAGAGCATGATATTCAGGAGCTTGTTCCCCTTGGGTAAGCCTGTGGCTCTAGCTCAAACACGATATACTCTACTGTATTGTTGTTTGGTATTCAATGTTGCGAACTATGGCATTGAGTACACCATGTTTTGCGTTTTGTTTCTCTTCTAAACTCAACGTTCTTACCCGAATGCAGATCAAGCTTTCAAAGATTTGACCTCCAACATCAGAGTTGTGGATCCTCCAGAGAAGATATTCTCTGCCATGCTTGGAGGTCGGAGAGATATCATAGAGTGTTGATAATCCGCATCTACATCTTCAGCAATCAGGTACGCGAACACTTGTTGCCACAGAGTTATAGTAACATTGCTATGTTCAGAGCCTAACTCGATGATCTCCCTCCCTCCCTCCCTCCCCCTCCCCCTCCCTCCCTCCCTCCCTCCCTCCCCCTCCCCCTCCCCCTCCCTCTCTCCCTCCAAGGCTTGGAAGATTGAAAGTGCCGGACATGAACTTACAATGATCGAGCCAACGGGGAAGTTGGGTGCATATTTTGATTCGACATGATTCTGTACATAGCAATAGCAGTATACACAGCAGGTCTGTTCGCGATAGATATTCTGTTCACAATGGATATATTGGAGCAAGAAGTAAACACTTGTTCAGCAAAACCATAGAGAACATTGTTCAGGAAATGATGATTTGATTCAACATGTTTCATTAAACCATCACACCTAGAATTCTAACTATTGTACAAACGCATAACACACAAATCAGCTTCGGGGAGTTGTCATCTTCTCTATCCTTGCTGCTTTTGAGTGATGGTGCTTGATTCCCATTGAATGACATCTCCGCGCGCATTGTACACTGTTGCCTTTCTCTTGATGAGCCTCACAGACTTGGCAAGGCACATCAGCTGCTTCAGGCGAGAAGGACACCCGTGCTTGTGACTCCTCTCAACATCCTTTATCTTCGTTGCCATATTTGCCTCCTCCGTGTTCTTGATTGTTATCAACGAAGATTTTCGTATTTTCCTGTCCTGACAATCTGATTCTGCTTCATCGGTTGTCTTCTTTGAGCTCGAGGTAAGAATCGAAGGCAGGGATACGCGGCGGCCAGTGATGAAACTCATTCTAGCAAGACAGGTGAACTACCAGGAAAAGACTTGATGGCACTTGTTTTTGTTGTAGCAGAAGCCGAGGAGTAGGAGGAGTAGGATTAGGAGAAGTAGGAGGAGTAGGAGGATTCCGTGGTCGTGGTGGCGGAGAAGGAGGAGGAGGAGGAGGAGGAGGAGGAGGAGAGTCTGTGAAAGGATCGCGTTAGGTCAGCTACTTTTATCACCCCTTGCCTCTTGTTGCCCCACCCCCACCCTCAAACGGAGGCCGAAGCATTCCCATCAAAATGGATGCAGATCACCCCTGCATCTGACCAATAAATGCATCTCAAAGGAGGGGTAAAATTCTAACCCCACCCCCTAAAGGTTCAATCTTTGTCTTTAAAACATTTTTAAAAACGGATTCAAGAATGAAACGTTGCGCTTTGAAGATATGTGATGACTCGTACACTGAATTGATCAATCGAATCAGTACCCTTCGCAAGGACCCTGAGTTTGAACCGAAATTGTACCGGTGGTATGACTCGGGTCCAAGAGACCACTCTGAAACAGCACCTTTTCGATCTCACGGTGTTAAAGAGCTCTTTTACAATGATTTAGCTCAAAGGGGCGGCCAACGGAGGCAGCAGATGCGAAGGCCTATGTCAAAGTCAGGAAACATCATCTGCCCTGGTGCCCTCCTTCTGCTGAATCTGAGGTTGGCCCATCATCTTTCATATCCTGTAGCATTACTGCTAGCCTTTGAGTAAACTGTAGCCAAGTAGAGCGGTCGCCGCCCTTGGCCCGTGGCCGAGAAAGGCCGTGATCACTTCCGTCAGCCTCACGTCACCTCGTTACGACCTTTCGAACGATCACCACCTTGTGGCCGGAAAATTTGAGTAACTTCGGCGGTACGGAATGGACTGATTTTTAACTTAACTTTGAGTAAAAAGACTGACTCAGTGAGCAAAGAACTGAGAGACCCGACGGCAGTGACAGTCAAACGGTTGCCGGTGAGTCAAGCCGGGCGGCATGGCCCGGCGCCGGCCCGCCGGGTCCGGCAGGCGGCTGGCACGGTCACCGGCCGGTCCGCCGCCGACACAGAGTCCTGGCCCGCCGGGCCGGCCCGGGCACCATGAGTGACTGCCTAAATAAAAGGCACTCCTAAGCGACCAATCCTTCCCAATCCGCCTGGAGGCATCGCTACTTTGTCGCTCGCTTCTTCTCCTCTCCCTTGCCCCATCCTCCTCTCCCTTGCTCCATCCTCCTCTCCCTTGCTCCATCCTCCTCTCCCTTGCTCCATCCTCCTCTCCCTTGCTCCATCCTCCTCTCCCTTGCTCCATCCTCCTCTCCCTTGCTCCATCCAGTCTTCCCAGTTGACTTTCGCCTTCGCCCCTCCCCTCCGACCTTTTGCTGTCCCATGTCCATCTAGTTGTTGTCTCCTGTCTGGCTTCACTTGGTTTCGCTCCTGCTGGCATTACCCTCGCTTTCCCCCTTCCCTTTAAGTGTACGTCCAGCATGCCAGTGGGTTTTCTTTCCTTGCAATGTCCTTGTGTTTTGATATCCCTCCTCCTCGCGCTTTGTCTCCCTCCCGCACATTCATTCTTGAACACACCTCTTAAGCTTGCCAGAGCCACTTCAAGTCTATCGACCTGCCGCCCTCACTCATCGGCTCGTTCCCATCGCATGTCGCTCTCTCCTCCTTCATCAAAAAGCTGGCAAGAGCCTTTTCCAGACGGGAAGTATGACCCAAACAAGGCTGCCTCGTACTTTCAAATGAGGTTTCCTTTGGCCGTCAAGAGGCTGATCGAGATCATCTCTGTCTCGGCGGGGTTCTTGTTTCGACTCTACCTGGACGAGAGGCTCGGCCGAGCAGAGGAGGAGGAGAGAGCAAGATCCAAGGAGCTGGTGGCGCTGGTAGCACGGCTGGGGCCGACCTTCATCAAGATAGGACAGTCGTTGTCGGTGCGGAGCGATATCCTCCCGCCATGCTACGTGCAGGAGCTTCAGAGCCTTCAAGACCGCGTCCCTCCATTCCCTTCCTCACGCGCGATCGATCTCCTCGAGGAGGCGTGGGGAGATAGCGGCGGAGTGAAAGGAGTACTGAGCTACATCTCGCCGGAGCCCGTGGCTGCGGCCTCCCTCGGCCAGGTGTACAAGGGGAGGCTCAAGGACGGGAGGGAGGTGGCGATCAAGATCCAACGACCCAACTCGCTAGAGCAGATCGCATGCGACTTGTACCTGCTGCGGCTGGCCTCCCCGCTGATCGCCAAGTTCGAGCTGTTCTCGGGGGTGAGCAGCGTGGAAGACATCATCGACGAGTGGGGGTTGGGGTTTGTGAACGAGCTGGACTACCAGCTGGAGGCTGAAAGCTCCAAGAGGTTCATCCAGTCCATGAGGGACTGCGGTCTGACCAATGTCATGGCGCCGGAGGTGGTGGAGGAGCTCTCGACCAGGAACATACTGATCACTGAGTGGGTCAATGGCCAACGGCTGGACAGGGCGCAGGGAGGAGACATCGGAAAGCTCTGTGCCCTTGCCCTCAACGCCTACCTGACCATGATGCTGGACACGGGGCTCCTGCATTGCGACCCTCACCCCGGGAACCTCCTGAGGACCGACGGGGGCAAGCTCTGCATCCTCGACTGGGGGCTGGTGACAGTGGTAGAGGAGGACTTGCAGTACTCCCTCGTGGACTACATCGCACACCTGACGACGGGGGACACAGCTGCGATCCCCAGAGACCTCGAGGCCCTTGGGTTCGTCCAGAGGGGGAGGGAAGCGGACGTGCGGGAGGCAGGCATCGTGGAGCTGCTCACAGGGGTCCAAGAGGAGCTCGCAGACGGCAACGCGCTGAAGAAGATCGACGTGCCGAGGGTGATCGAGAAGCTCGTGGCGATGACGAGGAAATATGGGAACCTCTTTCAGATCCCTCCATGTAAGCTGCTTCCTTTGCTGACCCTCTTCCACGCTCTCTCGTTCCTCTCCTGTCCTTGTCTTGGACTTGGTCATCATCGCATCGTTTTGCTCTGATTACGCTCTGCTCCACCTCTCCCTCACACACTGTGGTCTTCCTTCCCTCCCTCCCTCCCTCCCTCCCTCCCTCCCTCCCTCCTCCGTCCTTCCATTCCATTCCTTGCATGTCCTGACGTTCAATCTCAGACTTCGCGTACATCATTCGAGCTTTCACTGTGCTTGAGGGCATCGGCATGATCGCCGACGACAACTATTCCATCCTCCAGGAGTGCTACCCCTACCTCGCTCGCCGCCTCGTCACCGACTCTTCCCCAAGGACCAGGGTCGCCCTCAAGGAGATGCTCTACGGCTCTGCCTCTGCCTCCTCCCTCAACGTGTCGAGGCTCGTCAACCTGGCCGGCGGCATGCAGAAGTTTGCTTCCTCCACCCGAGAGGACGGATCCGCAGCTGTTGACGAGGCCCTCGCCATCCTGCTCTCCAAGGAGGGCAACTACCTGCAAGAGCTTCTCCTAGAGGAGCTGGCGAGGCTGCTGGAGGCCCTCGGACGTCAGACGGTCTCCCAGATATTTCGAACTCCTGCTGGAAGACTCGCCACGTCCACCCTCAAGCGGCAGCAGAGCATCGCTGAGCGGATCGGCCCTGCTGCTGTCTTCCTCCCCTTCGCCCTTCCTGCCCGCCTCTTCTCCACTGTCGAGCCCTACCTGGAGGTGAAGGAGGAGGACGTTGAAGCGCTCAAGACCGCACGGGACTTCCTCGTCGTCGCCCGCCCCTTCCTCTCCAGCTTCCTCCGCGACGCTCTTAACAGCAACCAACGGCTCGACTCTCGGAGCCTGCGCGCACTGGCGCAGGAAGTGTTGCCAAGGATGCAGGAGATGGGGCCGGGAGCAAGCGCCCTCCTCGCAAGGTCTGTCCTGTATCTCTCGCCCCCCTTCGCTAACTGGACGCGGCAGGTTGGCGGAGACGCTGCGGGAACGGGCGAAGAAGCGACTTGTGCGAGACGGCAAGGCAGTCCCGACCAGACTCGCCAGGCCCCTAGGGAGCGGGTGAAGGGAGGAAGATAGAAGTGGCTTGTGTAGTTGTACATTCCTGTGAGATACTCCGGCCGGGACGCTGACGTCATGAGATTGAGTTCCTCATCAGGATGGCCTGGATGATCGCCGGGTCTTTGACCTCCTGCATGTCAAACGTCAAGTCCCCTCCTACCCCTCCCGTCGCCTGTCAAACTCACGTAGACCTGTCGAGGAAAGAAAAATGTCAACCGCACTCACAAGCTTACAAGGGACTCTTTTACATCTTCTCGGCTTGCCAGGTTCGAAGATCTCAGATCCTGCGGGTCCATGGGCAAGACCAAATGTCTTGCAAAGAACGACATCAAGTCCCTCACCTACATATCCATCACTCCTCTTTCCTCCTCCTCCTCCTCCTCCTCTTCCTCCTCCTCTTGTACCTCCTCCTGCTGGCGAACCATGTCGTGACCCTTGTTGTACTCCTTCCACTCCATCGTCTCCTCCTCTACCCAGCCTCTGAGTCGATCTCGGCATGCACGCGCTTTAGTGATGGAGACTCGCTCGTCCGCCACCCCATGCGTGAGCAGCATGGGGGTGCTTGACTTCCCTCCAGGAGGAGGAGGCCAGGAGCTGCGCATCGGAAAGTTCATGGAAGAGAGGGAGAAGGAGAGGGAGAGGGAGAGGGAGTGGGAGTGGGAGAGTGGGAAGGGAGGAACGAGGGTCAAGGTGACCTGTCATGCTGCTCCTGTATCAAACTCCCGCTCACTCCCACAACCCCCCCAAGGTTCATCCTCAGCCCAGCATTGACCGCCTGTCATTACTCACTTCTAAAGCGGAGAACTACGTGCTCCTCTCACAACAATCGCTCCCTGTGAAAACCCAAAGATCTGCGGTGACGGTTCAGAGACAAGCGCAGGGATGGAGCAAGGAGCGTGCTGCCCGGGCTCACAAAGGTGCTCTTGGGTTTGAACTTCTCCTGTTGCCACACTCTCCTCAGGAAGACTTCGAGCTTGTCAAGCGTGCTGCGGCTGCGTCTCAACACCAGCAGGTCCCTCGGACGTCACCTCTTCAGTCCCCTCGTCCTTCGCTCCTCAGTTCGACTCTGCCAGGCGGGTCAGCGTCGCATCGCGTGTGGGCGCTGGGGACTACTGGCACGATCATGTTGCCATCGGCTTCGAACACGGGAAACCAGGAGAAGCCCATGGCGAGAGGAAGTGAGTCGCAAGCTCGCAGCGCCATGACCTGACAATGCACGGAAAGGGGGGAGAAAGAGGAACCAGAGGAGGTGGAAGAAGTACCAGTGGAGGAGGAGGAGGCACCAGAGGAGGAGGTCAAAAGCCCGAAAGTATGGCGTACTGAACTCTTACAGATGTCTTGGGCAGCTCGAGCTTTTTCCCGAAGCTCAGGAATGGCTCGTGTGAGTCGCCGAGCCCGTGCAGGAGGATGAGAAGGTTTGAGGAGCTGCCGAGGGGAAACGTCATGCCCACTGCGACAAGACTTGGTGTGGTACCCGGGAGGATCATGGGTGGCATGATGGAAGAGAGTCTGCAGAGGAACGTGCTTGTCTAGCTCCTGCTCTGCTATCACTACCATCGTTGAGCAAGAAGCTCGTGCCTTCACTTGAGGCGTCGTTGCCTCCCTCCTGCTCGCACCTTCGATCTCTGACCTGCAATGGCGGGGCAGGAACAGTGTGAACAAGCAAGCAGCCATGCCAGGTTCAAGACCTCAGCTTCGCAAAATCCTTGTCGTCCGGCTGTAGCAATGTTGCTCTTGCAATCTGCGAACATGGCGTCATGCCACCACCTCTTCCTCCTCCTTTTTACCGCTGCTTCCGCTTCAACGAGGTCACCCAATGAAAGGTGCGCTGATGCCTGCGCTCGTCCTGAGACCCTCATCGCAGCTCCCCGCAGGAGCACTCGCACACCTTTCTCGCCCATCCCTTAGCCCATCGAGGATTCAGCTCCGTGCTCCTGATCGCATGCTCCAGCGACTGATGATACCTTCCGAGCTTGATACAGCATAGCGCCAGGTTCCCGTGGACCACCTGACCGCAAGGAGATCACTCTCCCTCCCTCCCACGTCACTTCTTCCCGCACCTCCTTCGCCTCCTCCTCCTCCAACGCCATCGTGAACGCTTGTAGCGCCTCCTCTAGCTTCCCCTGCATGAAAGCTGTGCGACCGGCCTGCAGCATTTTCGCGTGCTAGCAGGATGACACCGGGACTAACAGATAGCTTTTTGGTCGCCCAATTGGAAGAATCCTACCAGGTCCGATGGTCTATGGAGGGCGGAGGAGAAGAGGAGAGGAGGAGAGGAGAGGAGAGGAGAGGAGGAGAGGAGAGCACACGGAAAGAGATCAGAGGAGAGCAGATGCAGAGGATATGAGAGCAGAGAGGAAGGAGAGGAGGAAGGAGGAGGAAAAGGAGGAGGGGAGATGAGATTAAATCACGGAAGACGAGGGCAGGAAGAGAGGAGCAGATAAGGAAGGCTGCAGGTCAGATAGGACAGAGTCATGCAGGAAGGGGAATGTCCCAGGGTTCCTTCCCGAGCAAGTAGAAAGCGAATCTATGCCGGGGTTGTGGAGGGGGGATAACGCTGTAGCAGATGGTGTTCAAGGTGTGGCTAATGCTCCTCTTGCCGCTGGTCGGATGCATCCACGTGCCGCCGCTTTCCTGCCATGGACCTGGTAAGGGCAGACAGTCAGGCATGCTTCTGTCTCACTAGCGTCCTGCCAGGTGTGCGCCTGTCACTCCGAGGAGGAGGGTGCATTACAGAAGCTGGTACCGCCATGCCTGCACTGCTCGTGCTGACCGGAGCCTCAGAACTGATGGGGCCAAAGAGCAACATCGTGCAGAGCATAGCGAGCAAGGTTGGGCGAAATCTGCACAGGCAGGACGATCATCCGCTGCAGGTTCTTCTCTTCCTACCCCTCTCTTCCTACCCCTCCCTTCCTACCCCCCCTTCCTACCACTCCCCTCTCTTCCCTCCCTCCCTACCCCTCCCTTCTTACCCCTCCCTTCCTACCCTTCCCTTTCCTTCCCTCCCTCCCTTCCCTTCTCTCCTTGCCGTTCCCTTCCTACAGCGCCTGACTCGTTTGCCCGCCAAGATCATCAAGACCTGGATCAACCAGTACTTCCTCGACAAGTACAAAGCTAAGGACGGCAGCTGCATGTACATGACGCGGGGCTGCCGCCTCCTCCCCCGAGTGACCTGACAGCTGGAGGACAGGTTCACTACGTTCGACGACCTCTCCCCTATCGTCACTAAGGCCATGTGCTTCGACGATCTGCTCACACCCGAGGACCACCCCAGCAGGTGTACACAACTCGCCCCAGTCTATCTGCGCTGACGCCGATGGCCCAGGTCGAGGCAAGATACCTACTACGTGGATGACGACAGGTACGAGGCTTCCGGCGATCTGTCAGGCGTGCTGATGCCCGCAGGCTGCTGCGATCCCACATGACGGCCCATCAGACGACCCTGATGAGGGAGGGGCACAGGCAATCCGTGCTCTTCCTTCCTCCTGCCCTGGAGGCTGACGCTTCCCCCAGAGCCTTCCTGTGTACCGGCGATGTGTACAGAAGGGATGCTATCGATAGCTGTCACTACCCCTGCTTCCACCAGGTTCGTGCTCCCTCCCTCGCTCTGCGTCCTCAGTGGTTGACGGCAGATGGACGGGGTAAGGATCTTCAGCTGGGAGGAGCTGGGAGTGGATTGTCATGAGAAGGCAGAGGAGATTGTCCTCAGCGATCTCAAGTATTCCCCTGACACCTGCTATGCTGCGACTCGACCCTGATCCTTACCGAAAGGAATGCGCTCGCTGGGATGATCGAGGTCGTGTTTGGGAAGGTCGAGGTGGGATACAAGAGTTTCCTCCTCCATGGGCTGACAAGGGCGAGGATGCAGATGAAGTGGACAGAGTCGTACTTCCCCTTCACGCACCCGTCGCTCGAGCTAGAGATCTTCTTCAACGGGAAATGGCTGGAGGAGAGGAGAAGCCGGGAAACCCGCCCGACGGCTGACCGTTGGAGCAGGTCCTGGGATGCGGGGTTATGAGGAAGGAGATCCTTAGGAACGGTCAGCTCGTGCAGCACAGTGGGTGAGGCAAGCCGTCTCCTCCTCCTCCTTGGTCACACCTGAGCAGATGGGCCTTCGGGCTGGGACTCGAGCGGCTGGCGATGATTCTCTTTCAGGTGAGAGGGCGAGGTGCGAGGGGTGAGAAGGGGGGCTGACACGTGTGTGAAGATCCCTGACATCCGACTGTTCTGGTCAACGGACAAAAGGTTCACAAGTCAGTTCCAAGGCGTCCTCTCCAGGTTCGTGACCTCTACTTGAAAACTCACCCCCGAGACGAGCAAGACGTGCTGACGTGCTGGAATGCAGCGGGAGGAAGAATGTTGTGTTCGCTCCCTTCAGCAAGTATCCAATCTGCTACAAGGTGCCTTGGTCGTCGGAGAGGGGGGAAGGCACTGCTGACAGGTCTTGTAGGACGTGTCTCTCTGGCATCCACCTGTGATGCATGACAACGATGTCATGGAGATCATTCGTGAGGTGGTCGGAGACTCCGCCGAAGATGTAGAGGTTGGAGAACATGCTAGTTTGACATACTCCTCTCATAACTATCAGGTCATTGACGCCTTTGTACACCCCAAGACGGGTCGTTCGTCCAAGTATGCTCCTTCCCCCTGCAGCATGAGCCGGCGGGCTCACGGGCTCTGGCAGGTGCTATCGGATCAGCTACCGTTCGATGGAGCGAACTCTGACCAACGTGAGCGCTTGACCTTCATCTGCTCCGTTGGCTCAATACGTAAGCTCGTGTTGATCATCGCAACGTGCAGGAAGAGGTGGACGCGAAGCAGAAGGAAGTTTGCGACATGCTGGTCAGCAAGGTGAGACTCTTTCCTATCCCTCTCCTTCCTCTCCTCATCCTCCCCTTCTTCATCCTCCCAGTCCTCCTCTTCCTCATCCATCGCTCCCTCAACTATCCTGCCCTGTCACCCTTGTCCCTCATTGTTTTCTGACGCGCAACAGCTCGGTGTTGAGCTACGCTAAGTGCGCGAAGATCATGTAGCAAGTCCAAAGAATGTCGCCTGTCAAACTTGAACCGCAAAATGGCACAAACGGGCGCCTCTTCCTGCCCTCTCCGTGGCATTTCGGCCTTAGATCACCGTATTTCTATTTATAGTTAGTTATCATCATAGTTCGTTATGCTCTTTTGCTTGGCAGAAGCAATTCCCCTCTTGATCCCACGCAATCACCGGCTGCAGACAGTCAGTCACATAGCATTTCCTTTCTCCTCCTCCTCACTGTCTCAGGATTCGTGTGACAGGCAAACGCCGGACACGGATGTCGACTGGAACATATCAAGTCAGACAAACAAATCGATGCCTGACAGGCCATGTGGCCGTACCGACAGAAACAGTCCAACTTGCCATTCTCGTCATAGCTGCAGCGCAATCGTCAAGCCGAAAGAGGGGATGGCAAAGAAGAACCTGTAATCCAACATCGGAAACATTTCTGAATCACAAGTAGCTTGTTTCGTTGCCGCACACGGATGAGTCTTGCAGATGCACTCCCCGTTCTCCAGTGCCAAGATCGGATGCTCCTTCTTCGGACAATGCTTGTTCTCCTGATAAGGGGATGTCAAAACACAGACAGCCGCGTCAACGCAGACGGAAACCTGTACACACTTGACAGGTTTTCTCTGTCCGGCACAAAAACCATGAGGGCAGTTCTAAGAAACAATGTCAGTGATCTCAGAAGGTAGAAACAGTTCCCTGCTACCTTGGTGCAGTAGCAAGTTAACTTCCCGTTGGCATCAAATTCATAATCTAAATGTGGAAACTTCCTGTAGAAACGGAATCAGTGAACTAGACATTTAGTATGGCTGCAATTCTCCCACACTTCCTCTTTTCCCCTTCCCCTTCCCCCTCCCCCTCCCCCTCCCCTTCCCCTTCCCTTTCCCCTTCCCCTTCCCCTTCCCTTTCCCCTTCCCTTTCCTCTTCTTTTCAGAGAGCAAACATACATGTCTGTACATAGATGGCCTTGACAAGGGCTCGGGCTACAAAGAACAAGTCAAGGAGGGAAATTCAGAACACGTGCAGATCTCACTCGCAATAACAAGTTCCGTTGTATTTCATCACGCCTCCTGGATCCGAGTCGATCAAAGATCTTGACGCCATCACCAGCATCACGAAAGTCTCACCATTTGGGCAATGGCGATCTTCACACTCCTTGGGAGATCTAGTCGCAGCATCGATCGCATCCATTGCTAGCAACCCCACACACAAAAGCATGCACAGCCTACTATCGAGTAGTCAGCAAGGAGGTCGAAATTCAAATCCGAACAAGCAAAAGAATCGATGTTTGCTTGCTCCCATCGATTCTCTCTTCTTTCCTGGTTGAGCCCCCTCCACTTGCTAGTCTGCAGCCTCCTTCACGTGAACTACAACCCCTAGGAATCCAAGCGTTGTGCTCCCCTATGTCCCTCCATGGTCCTCAGCTTGTTGATTTCGAATGCTAGAAATTTCTCTCTCTATCCCAAATATCGTAATCCTCACTCACCAATACACCTGGCCTCTACTTCCCTCGGACCGCTCCTCCTCCCCTGGACAATTCCGACCGTGTTGCAAGCAATGTCCCACTGCCAATTTTCTCCTCTCTATCCGGAATAACAGTTGTTCCTTTCGTGTTTAATTCTACCACTGATGTTTTAATCCACGGCCTCACTCTTCGTTTCTCTCATCCATGTCGAATACTGTTCTTCCTCTCTACTCTCTCGTATCTTAAATACTAACTTAATGATCATGTCCCTGCCATATCCCCAAAACTTCGAGTCAGCGCACCGAGCATGCTCCTGCTTCTTTTCTCATTCATCCCTTCCTCCTCTCCCCCTCCTCTCCCTCTTCTTCTATGTCTCTCTCCTCCCTCCTCTTCCCCATCTCGTCGATTTACCTGCATCGAGCTGCTGCCATCGCTTCCTGCAGATCCCAACCACTGACCCCTACCCCCCACGCTCCCATAAATGAACCACCTCCCGTGAGCTTCCATCCACACCACCCCTACCCAGCAGATTAATATCGGTGCCTTCTGAGGACCGGTGTTACATGACAGTTTTGTACCAGGGGATAAGGTGAAGAGAGGTTAGGGTGTATTGACTGGGTGGGGTGTAGTCGAAGGACCGGTCCTTGTAACCTTACAGGGTACATCCACAGTCAGCTGGAAACCTACGGGTTACAGGCACTTTTCTTTCCATACCACGTGGGTTGGGGTGGGTAGTTAATTTTACTTATTTGTTTTTAGATGTTCCTCATGTAAAACTATATAGATGACCTTTCAGTTCGAACAGTTATATCAATTAATTCCTCCCCGGGCCAGCTGCGGCATTGCGACCACAGGGCCGTTACAACACTCAAGGCTGTGACTCTCATTATTGTCCTCGTACTGATTTTTAACTTAACTTTGAGTAAAGAAGACACGGTTAGTCACGGAGTCCGGTTGGCAGTCGCTACACCGTTCACTCAGTCAGCCCGGGCCGCCGGCCGATGACCGGGCCGTCCTACTCCGATCATGAGGCCGCCTCAGGCCGTCGCCGGGGCCCGGCCCTCCACTGACTCCCGCCGCCGCCGGCGCATGAGAGTCGTCTGGCAGTCACAGTGACTCTCAGGCTCGGGTCCTGGGGCGCGGCCCCTTCCGACGCCCGGCCGCTCAAAGGCAGTTAACCTCACTCCCAGTGCGTGAGTGCGCGGCCGCAGTGCAGTGCGGACAGAGGCTCCCGGACGGTGGAAGCCGGGCGCCGTCCGATCATCGGATTGAGGACCGTACCGTACTCCAACCGGAACAGCCGTGCCACCGTGACTCGAACCGTTTTAACTTAACCGAGTCGGCGGCGATGATCCCGCGGCCTTTACTCGAAGTTAAGTTAAAGATCAGTACGAGGACAATCAGAAGAGCAAGACAGCGAGAACTAAAGAACCACATGATGTCCGTCACTGTCAAACTCAACTGTTCAGTGTCGGAGTTCATCCTCATCTCCTCCTTCAACTTTATCTCCACTATCGCCATAGCAGTATGTCCCTGATTGGAACATTCAAGTGGAGGACTACAACAATGTCTCTTCCGAGTTCAAAACTTGAAAGTGGTCACTTCGAGACACTTCGAGTCACTGAATATCTGTAGTCGTTTTCGTCGGCTCATGGAGAATAAGAGAGGAACGAATCAACAGTGATGTAAATGAAAGATGCTCCCCTTCTGGTACTCTTGTGATACATCAAGCTCCTGTGGGGGTGGGACAGTGTTCCCTGGTTTCTTGAGCTCCACTGGCCCAGCGATTGGCTGAGCTCGGTAATCGGGGGAGATAATGGCATGGCTCCGGCACATCCTCGCAGTTGCTCCGTTCTTCACATGAAGCAGAGACATCGGACATCTCACTCAGTCCTTGTAGTTTGCCTCGAGGAGAACAACCAGCTCCTGACCCTCTGGCAGAAGGTTTGCCGCTTCCCTCCGTTCTGCCTTTCCAGGAGTTCAGCGAGTCGCTCCTGTTCGCTCTTTGGGCAGAGACAACAGGCGCCGTTGATGCCGAGGATGATGAAGACGATCACAGCCAGGACCGCCTTGAAGGACAGCAACGCCGTATACATCGCATTCATCACCACCCTCTGTTCTTCAGCACTCAGAGCTCGTTTCTGCTGGCTGCCATGGTCGGCCTGCCCTGCTCTCGTGTCCTGCTGGGCGTCTCCTGCAGCAGCTGAGCAAGAGGCCAGGCAAGCAAGGAGCAACAAGCCTCCTCGCCTCCTCATCAGCCCCGCCAACTCTCCTTCCGGCTGCCTGCTGCATTTTTAGTCAACTCTCTTGAGGCTCCAGACCGGCCGCATTATGCACGTCACGATCCGAGCCGCCCTCGCGCTGCTGCTCGCGCTGTCAGGACGATGCTGGGCCGAGGGATCGACGAGGATGGGATGCGAGACGATGACGCGCATGGCAGCGGGAGCGCAGGGAACTTTGATGACGGGGATGGCACTGCAGCATGAGGGAGAGAGGGGGAGCCTGGGGGATACGAGTTTCAGAGTGTCGGGATGGAAGGAAGACGCAGGCAGCATGGCTTTGCGATCAGGTATGGGGGAGACGAAGCGCTTGCTCTGTCTTGAGTGTGCGCAGCGCATGCAAGGGCGTCTCTTCGGCTGAGGGGTGGGGCCGGTGAAGATGAGGACGAGGTATGTTTGCAAGGTTCGAATGCGCGGAAGGATTCAGACCTGCCGGTTTGCAGGTCCAGCGCCTGATAGAGAATGGATGCTCGTTATGGGATGATGAGAAAGATGCAAGTGGGGCAGAGCGATGCTTCCTCAAGGCCATTGAGCTGAGCCCCAAGAACGAAGAGGCGCTTTCCTCCTACGGCGTTCTTCTGCACGAGTCCTCGAACAACTTCCAAGAAGCCACGAAGGTTTGCGGATCTCTGCCAGTGCTGCTGTCTCTCGTTGCTGAGGTTGTGTTGGAATCCTTGCAGTACTTTGAGATGGCATTAAGCTCAAACCCATCCCACATCGATTCTCTTCACTTCTACGGTGAGAGGCAGGTGAAATGAATTGTACCACCTCTTGAGCGTTCCTGCAGGGAACATGATGCATGCTATGCACGAGGACCTCAAGGCAAAGATGCTGTGAGCAATTGCACAAAGATCTGTGTTGCCTTGTAATGGATGTCTGCGATGCGCTGCAGTTACGAGAGGGCGATCCAGGAAGCAGAACGGTGACCCGATGGCTCCTTGTGCATTCGGGTGAAACTTTATCAAAGCATGATTGCAAATGGAGAAGAACCTCACATTCTCTATGTTGAGACCCTGTGCAACTATGGTGCACTGCTCGGTAAGGAGTGAACATGCGAACATGTGCTGGGAGTTTGTGGATGACACCACCTTCCAATCTCACAGAGAAGGCGCTGGGAGAAGTTGATGCTGCTGAGGTTTGATCCTTCGCCATCGAATTTCTGGTCTTTACCTATGTCAAACGCAAAGATGGCGTACAAGAAAGCTCTAGAAGTCAACCCGGAGGATACGTCAGGTGTGTTTTTTCTGCAAGAACGAACAGGGGCTTTCAAGACATTGACAAGACAACGTGCGGTGCAGTCCTGTTCAATTACGGAGTGCTTTTAGAAGATCGTAAGGATGACGTCGACGGAGCTCAGGTTGGACAGCATCATGAAGTCTTCCGCTTCATGATAACGATGCGCAGACTATGTACTTGAGAGCATTAGAAATCGATCCTGAAGATCTCAACGTGCTGATGAACATGGCGTTGTTGCTGCAGGTTACATGTCTTTGCAGATGATGGCCAAAGCTTCAATCTGAACTTGAGATGTTGGATAAAACAGAATCATCGGCATGATTATCACGCAGCGGAAAAGTACTTCACAAAGGCGATGGAGGTGGACTACTCTTTTCGAGTTGTACTTGATTGATGTTTGTTCGAACAGGTGAACCCGGACAGAGTTGATCTTCTTTCCAACTTTGCTGTTTTCCTTGAGGACATTCGGCACGACACAAATCGTGCGACGGTACTGGCTGCATTCTTACCTCCGTCTTTCCCTTGCCTTCTGGCAGTTTCCTCAGTTTCGCCTCGGGATGAGTTCTCCCCTGACCGACTCTGTCTATCCACTTCTTCACCCCCTTTGCAAACCCTTGAATCTTTCCTTCGCCCATAACAGCCTGCAGGAACTTTACTTGAAAGCTCTGACAATCTGCCCTGAGGACGTCGTGACCCTTGCTCACTACGGGTGATTGTTCATGCCTTCGATCAAGCTGTTCACCTGATGACGATCACAGCGGCTTCCTGCTGAGAAACGGGAAAGCAGAAGAGGCCGAGCAGAGGTTCAAGCAGGAAAGAGCATGCTTGCCACAAAACGTCATGTCTGATTCCGTGATGACCAGGCCATGGAGATCGACCCTGAGGTTGCGAAACCTATCATCGAGCTACGACGATCCCTTGTGGGAGAATCGTTGATGCAGCAGATGTGAAACGTGTGCGTGTGTGGATGTATCATGTTGCCATCCTGCTCCAAACATGATTGCAAGCATTGGTGATGAATTGAATGCACAATGGACCTTCATGTGTCAAATGCAAAAAAATGATAAAAGAAAATTATGCAAGAAGGAGAGGAGAGAGAGGAAATGAATCTGATAGCAGTCTAGTTTCTTCACATGTGAGGCATCTTTACAGGAGGCAAGTATCCTGACAAAGTGTTACTCATCCAAAAAGCAACACAGCACCAGTCTTGAACACACCAGCCTTGTTGCCGTATCCAGTAACTTTCTCGAAGTCAGCAGCAATCTGGCTTTGCAGGGCTTTCATCTTGCGAGCAATTGCACGTCTCTTCTTCAACTCCGCCTATATCACATTCAAACATCCAACAACCAACCGTCTGCTCTTTACCTCATTCGTTCTCGCGCTGCTTGTCGTCTTCATGCTCTTCTCTGCTTCCTCCGCCTCTCTGAGCGCCTTGCTCACGTGGGAGATACCATGCCTGACGCTGCTCGGTGCAGAGTCGTTGACCTTGCTGTCTGACAGTTGAAGTTTGGCTGTCAACAGGGTTAAGACTGGAACGCGGGTGCTGCAATCTTTACCACTCTTATCCTTCTCGTTTCCTGAACGCGCCGCGTGCGTGACCTTGTCGATGTGGGCGAGGAGACCGTCGATGGTCTTCATGCTGGAGTCTTCGAGCTCCACGTTCTGTCATAAACTCTCGTCACTCCCCTTGATTTTTCCCTGTGAGTTCAGCAAACCTGCGGCTTCTGCGTGATGGTTCCAGCAACGGCCAGGAGGACGATGACGGCAACGGCTGCCATCACGATCTTAAGCGCCACCATAGCCCTGTTGCTCCTGCCAGATTGATTGTTCTGCGCGAAAATCAGAAGAGCGCTTCCAGGGCAAAGACAGCGTTTACCTTGATAGCTCCGTAGCCTTCCACAGGCTCAAAGGGCTGCACGGTACTCTGAAAGAACTTGATGTCATTGCAAAGCAAATTCCGGCAAATGAAACAGATAAAACACGTATCATGACTTGTTCAATGGATGAACGCAGTATGGTGTTTGAATCTTTCAAGGTCTATCCTATTCAACATAGCGAACAATGCGCATCTTCAAGAGAAATCCCTTGTTTCACCAGCAGCAGGGTTTCATCTCCCCTTCAACACAATCCCTATGTTTTCATGGAACTCCCCCTGCCTTGCCATAAAATTTCCTCCTAACAATTCCCAATGCGTCGTGTGAACAAAATCCCCTCACTAGAAGCAATCTGCTTCCCCTATTCTCAGAGACGGCATCTCGTCCTCTCAGAGCTTGTTCCACAACAAACCATGATCCTCTGACTTCTCATAATTCCTCCTCCTCCTCTTCTCCCTCCTGCGCTTTACCTGCATAGGCGCCGCTGGATATGTCATGGCGCGCTATTTCGGGCAATGTGAAAAATCTACAGGGTGCCCTGGTTTCTTACTAGGGGTAGGGTACTCCTATCACCGGTATGTATGCCTGTTTTGGTTTGAGAAAGGTATGGTAGGGTCTGACTTAGGGTACCATTCCGGTTGGGTCCCAGGGTCTGGGCTATGGGGCTATGTGACATCCGGGCTATGGGGCTATGGGACATTGGGACACCAACCACAGGTGGGCTATGAGGTTTGGAGCGAATAGCGGTGCGAGAGGGAGGGAGGCAGGGGGAGAGGACAGAGGACAGAGGACAGAGGACAGAGGACAGAGGACAGAGGACAGGAAAGTGTGGAGATATGATGATTCAGACTTCTAGATCGAACTGGCGTGCTTGCTGACATTGGAACGTGGAACGTCTCTTCCTTGCGTACTACATTCATCTGATCCCCGGATGTCGCGAGGCATTCTCCTTGCCCTGAGTCTACTAGGGTACTCTCTGGCTCATGAAGATGCACAAGACTGGGGAGGATGCGTTTGTGGCGATACGATAAGGAGAATGCAGGAAGCATGGAGAAACGGTTTGAAAGTGACTCAATTTAGAAACTCCAGCAGGGAGTATGCAACCTACATCAAAGCTGGGGTGTATGGACAAGGATACGTCTTCATGTTTGAAGATCAATCGACAGAGATGCTCATTGACAGGAGTATGATCCAGAACAAGGGGCTTCCTATCTTCGACCCGGCCTCGAGAAGACTGTCCGACGATGCCAGTGATTATGGCATGCTCATACAAAGAGCCGCTGAGATCCACGTGGTGGACAGCTGCTTCTCCATGCTTGCCGAAGTGCTGGGGAGTGTCGGCGCGAAAGCTGCGGTCATTCACAGGTTTGCCAGCAGGATAGTGAGGTCGGGTCGTGCTACCTGCCGACAGCATGAAATGTTCCAACTCACATCCGAGATGTTCTCTATCCAGGCCGTCCCTCTCGGAGCCGGGAACATTGATGTAGAGATCATCTACCCTTCAGAGAACATGGTGATCGAGAGCCGTGACCTGCAATCGGCCACGACGCTTGAGAGGGCCGTGCAGCTCAGCATGCAGAACTTCCAGGTTGGAGCCGGAGATATCCGGTTGCTGCTGAAGTACACTCGTTACAACCACACCGAGGACGCTTTCTACACAATCTCTCTGCTCGACAGTGTCCTCGTCCCCGTCATCGGAGCCAAGTGTCCACACCTTCAGGGAAGGCAGATGGAGATGGAGAATGGACGCTGTCTAATACATAGCACCGCAGTCTTGAAGGATCCAGGGAACTTCTCTACTGAGATTCAGATCTTTAGCAAGGGCAAAAGATTACATGCGCATGAGGTGCAGTTTCAGGTAGTTTGACACATCACTGAGCGGTCGCCACTCGGCCCGGGCCGGGCCGGGCAGTGACCGACATCAACTGAGTTTTCAAAGTTCAAACTTCGGCCATTCAATCACTATTTTTCTCTTGAATGAAGTTTTTCGGATGTTGTCAATGCAGGCTAAGTTCCGAGGCTCGGTCAGCAGCCTCAGTCAGCGCGGCCCAAGTCCGGTGACCCCTGGGCCGCGCCCGGCGGCGGCGGTCCGATCACCCCGACTCCGCCGAGCCTCGGCGGAGCCGCCGCGAGCCCGCCGGGCGCCGCGCCGCGAGGGCGGGGGCGGTGGCGCGGCGCTGGCACCCTGGCAGCCGCCGATGGCTGAGTCAAACCGTACGGTCCGAGCGGCTCACCCCGGCGTTTTCTCAAAGTTAAGCCTGCCAGTGCCGCTCAGTGCCCTGGCACTGCAGTCGGAGCCCGGCCGCACTGACTCGGCGCCTCGGCGTGGTCGCGGCGCCCGGGCCCCTCGTGACTCGTGCCTGTGCCCTCACCGAGTCCCCCGATGATCCGATCAGGGTCAGCCCCGGGGGCTGACCGCACCCGGCCCCCGTGGTGACTCAGTGACCGTACGAAGGCCGGGCCGCCCGGGCCCGCCGGGCGCCCGCCCGGGCTCCGCCGGGCCCACTGGGACTCAGAGTCTGATCGCACTGAGATGTCTCTTTCCCAGGGCATAACTCTCATCGTGGCATCTCCTTGCACCTCCATCGAACACAAGACAAACAAGCACAAGGACGATACATGGAGGAGAAGAGAGAGAGAAGAGAAACATGGAACAGTGATAGATAGATCACAGAGACAGAACAGCAACAGAAAGCATGGCGATCTCATTTCAAACTCCATGATGGTCGGGCGCCTTGGAGACTCAGCATGCTGAGATCGCGCGAAGGTGTCGAGATGAAGAGAGAAGGGAAGGGGAGGGAAGGAGGGGAGGGAGGAGACAACGAAGGAGTAGGAGCAGATCGTTATGGGTCGACAGGCTGGTACCTCAGAACAAGATCCCTCCATGCAGTAGCTTCACTGGGCTTTACGTGGGTGGCAATTATGATGGAATTCAGACAACGAGCAATGCAGGATGAAAAGGTTGCGAAGGACATGACTCCAACAAGAACTTTCCTTGCTACCCTTGTTGTCTCTCTTTCGTTCCTTGGCATTCCTCACGGAGCGACTGACCACCTCGTCGGGGACAAGATATTCAAAGACGCCTTCCCGAAGACCTGGCTGCTCGTGTTTGTTGTGGTTTATCTTGTGATGATGGGGATGGTCATAGCAAGCTGGATGATGGCGCCGATCTTCAGCCTTGCTGTCTTTCTCGTGCTGTCTGTCGTACATTGGGGGTTGGGGGATACAGAATGTGACATCGTTCCTTCGGTGTTGCAGCCTGTGGAGGTGACCCGTAGCATTCAGCGTCGAACGAGCTTATTTTCTGAATAGTTTGTTGAAAGGTTGTGGTAAGGGGGTCGATCCCGATCTTGCTCCCGAGTGTGTTGCATCAAGATGCTGTCTCGCAGATTTTCTCCTTCCTGGTTTGTTGAAACCAACCTTGCTTAGTTGTTTGACTTGTTCTATGTAGGTGGGGATGCACGGGGATACACGTAGTGTTAAAGTGATCGTGAACGGAATGGCTTCGAGCATGCCTCTCTTCCTGTGAGACATTGCTTGCAAGGTCTCTGGTCATCAATCCTGATTGCTGTGCAGGTTTGGCTGGATCGCTTGCTTTGCCTATCATGCCTTTCAGGCTGTGAGGCATATGAATGCTGCGGGATGTCAGGACTTGAGGATTGGAAGCAAGGAAATAAGGTCATGCTTCAATCTGAATGCATGTCCCTTGTGAACAAATGGTCAGACATTTTATTTCGGCGGTGGAGCTAGTTTCACTGACAGCCATGTGCTCGGTAAGCTTTGCAACCTTCTGCTACGCGCGATGAACGGGACAGCAGCTTTGCGCGCCCTTGGTGTCCTTCATGATCTACTTCTGTGTGTGGCATTCGTGTCGGCACATTCTGTGTGTAGCAGCATCAACGTTCGACAGCAGCAGGTTGGCATCGAAAGTAGACACTGGTTCTGACTTTCATGGTGAAGGTGCCTGCGCGCTCTAATGAAGTTCAGTCAGCATGCTCTGCCATTTACCATAGCAACGCTTCTCATGGCAGGGTGAGACATATAATGTGCTACCCCTCCATCTCCTCACGTCTTGATGAAGCGTGTGGTACTTGAGACTGGAGCAGACCGAGTGGGACAAGGGTGAACAGGATGGCAATGGGGTGGAGCTGAGCAGCACGTTGAGAAAGTTCGATGCTCTTTCCCAGGTTGTGCAATGTTCAACTTGTTTGAAGCTTCGGGTCTCAATGAGCATGACAGGTGATTTTCGTCGGCCTCAGCGCTGTCACTGTGCCGCACATGATTGTTACAGAGCTATCCATGGTGAGATTATGCCCCCTTGGCAAGTTGTACAACATCTTGAAGAGGCTGATGATGAATTAGCACCCACAAGCTTGTCTTGACATGATTTAACCACTGAATGATTCATTCGTTAAAGTAAGACACTGACATTTCTACCAAGGTACGCCAACGGGCGCTAGAAGGGAATGCAGAGAAGGTGATGGAATAATAAACAAGCTCCACTCTCACAAAGCTTTGCTCGCTGGGGGGAAACAAACACGCCATGTTACATCAACTCATCCATCTTCCATATTCCCCGGCATCCCACCTGAGACTCAATCAGGAATGAGAGGACGTACAACTTCTCCGTCAAGGACCTGCTCTAGTGCGCAGTTGGCTGGGTTGGACGTGCACGATTTCTGATAATCGATGTAGCGACTAGAGGCGAGAGTCACACAACATGATGTGCATAATCTTCTGTTTGTATCATCACCTGCTTATCAGGGTGGAATCACAATCTTCCACCGCCTTCAGAGGGTAGGGAAACACGCCGCGACTGTTCGGAGACTGATATCAGTTGAAGGCCACACTCGCGCACAACGAACCTGCACGACTTGATACACATCTGTCGAAAGGTATAGAATGGAACCTGACTTAACTCCACTTGTCTTGCATTGAAACCTGAAAGCCTCGTCGTCAAAAACATCGGTTAGACCTTTCCGCTTCGCTCTCAGAATTCAAAGGTGTCCCATCATTCACAGGCGGACCATTCGAGGCTTCACAGAGCGCAAGGTCCTTCCTTCCCCATGACAGTCTTCGTACCTCTCTGCGATGTTGCGATGAACATGAGGCAGAGCGCCGCGATCGCCGCCAGCCCTCCGCCATGTTGCCACCACCGGCTCACCATGTCCACTTTCTTTCGCAGCAACCTGGACCACATCCCCTTCCAGACCAACCATTGGTTGGAGTGGCAGTGGAGTGGCGGTTTTCGCTGCCTCCTCCGTTTCCTAGAATTATGTTGAGGCGGGCTTGTAGGTTTATCATACTACTTTGTCTTTTTCAGTCAATAAAACTTTGTCTGGGGTTCATCACTGAGTTTTCCCGGCATGCGGAAGTAGTGCCGACCAAATCACCCGTCAACTGTTTGAAAGTGAGAGACTTGGTACTCGCAGGCAAACAAGACGAGTTTTTCAAAAGCAGGGAATGAGGACAACTTCAGGGACAAGCTCGGCAAGAGTCTGTCGATCCTTGCAGGCTCCAAGAAAACCTCGCCCTTGAGTCTGCGAGGGAACAGTCCTGGTGCGTCGTGTCGAACGGCAGAAACTGACTTGAAAGTGATTCATCTCTCCGCTGCCTCCTGTCGCCTCCTCACTCTCCTCCACCCCAGAGCGGTATGATTGAAGCTGAGAACTGGACCCAAGGAAAGTGTAAGGTGCAAGCCATCTCATCAGTGAAGCTGATATGATCGGCCCTGACAGCAGAGGAGGCACGGAGGGCGTCGGGCACTCCGAACGCTGAGATGGAATCTGGATAGTGGCAACATCTTGATCGCTGCTCGCAAGTGAAGTCGGAGCAGGTTCTGTGCGAGGGCATCGAACAGAAGGAGAGCATGCGAAAAGGTGGGACAAGAGGTCAGCATGTAGCACAGGCAAGAGTGATTTTCATTCAGATTTTCACTCTTCATGACCTGAACATCAAGACTTCCTCGCCCTCACAATGTGATCAGCCTTGCCACAATTAGCATTTCAGGCTCCGAGGTAGTCTTTCGCAACCTAAAGAGCTTCAGTGCGCACCGGAGCTTCAGCTGTATTTTCTCACCTTCAGCGCGAGATCTGCCATCCTCATGGAGTAGCCCCACTCGTTGTCGTACCATGCGTAGATCTTGACCATCTTCCCTTGAACGACCATGGTGGAGGCAGCGTCGACGATGGAAGACCGATCATCATTGATAAAGTCTGTAGAGACCAGCGGACGCTCCTCGAACCCAAGAATGCCCTTGACGCGCACGATCAGAATCCCCTCATCTCACGCTCTGCTCTCCTGCTCAACCTTGAGCGGTGCGGTCTCGGAGGCCTCCTTGAGAAGGCGGTTGACCTCCTCTGCTGTCGTATCTCGGACGACATCAAAGACACAGTCTGCATCCTGCACGTTAGGAGGAAAGCTCCCCTCCCAGCAGGAGTTTTCGCACCTGTGATGGAGCCATTGCACAAGGGAACTCTGACAGCAAGTCCGTTCAGCTTTCCCTTGAGCTCAGGGAACACCTGGAAAAGTCATCACGATGAGCCACCATGGCTATGCTGACACCTCAGCGATGGCTGTTGCAGAGCCGGTGGATGTGGGCGAGAGGTTGACCATGCCTGATCGTCCTCTCCTGAGGTCCTGGTGGACGGAATGAGATGGGCAGAAGAACGAAGAAGAGGTGTGAGCAGGACGAGATCATGGAACATAGATGGAAGACAAGATGCAAGAGGATGGGATGTTTCATACCTGCTTCTTGCCCGTGTCACACATGTCCACCAGAGTTTGTGTTCCAGTGACGTTGTGGATGGTAGTAATCATTCCTTTCTCGATCCCGATCTTCTCATGGATGACCTGCAAGAAACTCATGTCCTCTCCTCTTCCTCCCCTCCCCTTCTTGCTCTGGCTCTTCCCCTCGTCCTTTCCTCACGTTTCACACCTTGACAACAGGAGCAAGGCAGTTCGTTGTACAGGAGGCAGCAGTGCCTGTCAAAGCACAACCAAGATCAATCGCACGGCGCGGTGAGGCAACAGGGCAGTGTTACAGATGAAGTGATCCTTGGTCAACTTGTCGTCGTTGACTCCCATCACAACGTTGAGGACAGATGCTTCCTTGATAGGAGCACTTGGCGTACATCAGCTACTTGCCAACATCAACATCACCTCACCTGACCACCACTCGCTTCACCCCGCAGTCCTGGTAAGGCTGGAGGACCTTAGTGCTGAGGAAATGGCCTGTGCACTCCAAGACGAGCTCAACTCCAAGTTCCTTCCATGGCACTCCCTCGATGGTGGGCGATTCAGAGAAGGTGATCTTAATGCACAAAGTGAGGGAGTCAGGCCCATGGCGTCCACGCATGCACTCTAGCTCGCACCACTTTGTCGTCAACAGTGAAGGATTTGCCATCAGCCGCTTCTCGGCATTCATGGTTCCATCGGCCATGCACGGAGTCGAACTGGAGCATGTAAGCAGAGGTCTTGGCGCCTCCTTTGATCTCGTTGACATGAACCTTGAAAGCAAGAGTTATCATGCAGGCAAGTTTACATGTGTGGAAACAGTGCTCATGGGAAAGGAGGAGATAGTTTGAAAACAACACCTACAGGGGGGAAACAAAGCAAGTGCTGTTGTTGGGAGTTTGATGTCGCAGACACGAGCCAACTTGAGCAACAGAAGCAGGATTGGGAGGGAGCAAGGCAGTTGTCACGCTCACAATCTCAATCTCCTTCATGTCCCAGGCGGCTCTCATCGTCAGCCTGCCGATCCTGCCGAAGCCATTGATCCCCACTCGTACCATGCTGCCAACAAAGATGAAAGGGCTTGGCTAGAGCTTGCAGTAGGATGAGGGTTGGTGGAGGGTGAAGAGGGCGGGAGTGAGGTAGTCGAGGGGCGCAATGATCCATGCAGGCGTAGGGAAGCAAAGGCAAAGAGACGTAGCATGACCATTATTTTTAGCAAGGTAACGAAAAGAAGTCTTTTCCAGGCAGCGGAAGGCTGTTAGACATGAGACAAAATAATAGGGATTTGACAGACAGGGAAGAGGGTAGAGCAGAGCAGAGCAAAGCAGAGCAGAGCAGAGCAGAGCCAAGAAGAAGAGGAAGGAAGAACTTCTT